ACTAAGAAACTTGGTACCTTGAATTATTGAAGTGGTGGAATTGTCGGCCCAGTCTACTAGACGCAGCTTACTGTACTCAATCCTAGATATGGAAGATAATTCTGTCCTTTAAGAGTTCTGGTGATCCTGTAGAATTGCAGGTCACTCTATAATATGCAGAGACCACAGTCCAAACGGTATATATCTAACTATGGTCCAGTTATGAGGGTTACTTTGATTGTTGATTGGGATTGGCCAAAAAGTGCTAACCAATGTTAACGGAATAGAAATGTAATGCACAATAATTATGTAAGTTGTGAAATTTCTGAAATCCTACGTACCTAATATTATTTATTCATTATCTTTTCTTAATCTTATTATTGTAAGAAAAGATAATGAAAAAATGATAATATCCCTACAATTATACGTGCTTATAGTTATTGTAAGAAAATCTTAATTTCTCTTTTAAAGTAAAAGCAAATAATTTGAACATCAAGATTCTAACGAGCCAGGTAGTAAAGACAGGAAAAGTGTGCAACGCGAGATTCGTCGAATTATTATATGTTATACTCATTTTGTGTCATTTCCCTTTAGCCCAATGCGACTGTTTAACTTTAAGTTTATGAAGAATTATGTAATTACAGATAGTGTCATTTCCTTGTAGCCCAATGCAAATGTTTAACTTTAAGATTTATGAAGAGTTATGTAATTACAGAGAGTAGCAGAGAATTTTTGCGTGTGGCTCAAAAACACAATTATTAGACCAAAAATAAGTTTTTGGCCACATTAACGAACACCGATTCAACAATAAAACAACATTAAGACAACAATAAAACAACATTAAGACAACAATAAGACAACATTAAATGTAGGGTTATGTAGGGTTATGAATGTTGTCAATGGACTCTCTCGGCTCCACTCTATAATGCTAAACTTATGGGTATGGGTTTGTCAACATTTAACCTAAGACTTCTGGTGATGACCACGTAATTTCATTGTGAAATTACGTGAAAATAGTGAAATAATAGTGAAATAATAGTGAAATAATAGTAAAATTATAGTGAAATAATAGTGAAATAATAGTAAAATTATAGTGAAATAATAGTAAAATGATAGTGAAATGATAGTGAAATAATAGTGCCACTTGTTCTGGGGTGTTCTCCTGGCTTCTTCCAACGCTTACATCCAATACGCTTAGAGAGCATTTCAACATTACATCTTTTGTATAGCCTATCATTGCTGATCATCCCTTTTGGCTACTTGATGTTCAAGATTCTCCTTAGGTGTCGCCGGTGAAGTGTATCGATTAAGTTATATTTGGTGAGCATAATCTGCTCGTGAAATGCAGCAGAAAGTAATTCATTTCCGGTGCTTTCAAGGCGACTGTAGAAATCTATAACAAGTTTTCAGGCTTCATAGCTTTAGAAGTATTTTGCGTGTGTCTTTATTATACTTACAGTTTATTATACTTACAGTTTTCACTTCTAGTATAAAAATAATGACTAATGATTTATGTTCTGAGTATGTTGTGAATCATATCACCTAAATTCAATCATAGGGGTAGTTCACCGGCCTATTCTGATGTTGCTCTATTTAAAAATTCAGTCGGACTTTGAACCCGTAATTTTTTAATAACCATGCAACAATTTTTTAATAACCATATAACCGGAATTCAAAAAAACGGTATTCTTGGCATTGCTGCAATGGTGAAAAAAAATTTCATTTTCTTGTTTTTTTCTTGAATCAATGATGGAGCAATGTGTTTCCGCTCAAAAATGTGTTTCCGCACTAAAATATGTTTCCGCAGTCCGCACTTTAAAATCCTACTAAAAGAGCAGATTGGGAGATAACAGTTCCCAGAAACTCATCATAATAATATTGCTATAATCGACTGTTGAGCACTTTGCGCCAGGATCGTTATATATTACGTTATTGGTATGTTATACAATTTTAAAACTGTCAATACTACTATAATAGTATATTTTAATGTTGCCATGGGGTGGCAAGTCCCCAAACATCGTGGTCCGGTAGTTTCATTGCGTCTTAATATAAGAACAATTTGATATCATGAATAGGATGTTGATACATTGAAACGTAGAACAATACCCAGCCATATCTTGGCATCTCGCCAACCGTTGTCATCCCGCGCATAATTCATTCTACTGCGTTACATTTCAACATATGTTTTTATTTTGATATGTTAGGACTGGATTAAGATAAAAACAAAGGGCCTCAGGCCTGCCATGATTTCAAATTATTTCCACCAGTATCTGTGCGCATTATTCTGCGGCCTCTACGTGTCGTCATCTCGCATAACGTAAGAACAGGTGCTGGGCATGTGCAAATTTGCAGTTTTCCAGACATTGATTGGGTTAATATATACTAACAAGTAATTTTGGGATTAAAGGGTTAGTTCAAGCTCAAAATTTGCTTGTAATTATTAATACAATAGTTCCTGTTAGCAGAGCGAAACTGGTATATGAATGTGCCAATAATGTGGTAATAATTTGCACTTTAATTTATTTACTGATGGTCCCATAATTTGCAAAGCTTTTCTCAATATGTATTACTTATAAGCTTATATAACTACAAAGTATTACTACAAAGTATGATAACCGTCTCAACCGGGTAGAATAAGGAAAATATTCCAGATAAGGAAAATAAACCAAAAATTTACAGCTACGGTCGCTCCCCTGACTCTTGTTACTTGATTGGTCTGATCGGCGGCACGTGACAAAATACTCGATGGTGATTGGTCTGATCGGCGGCACGTGACAAAATACTCGATGGTGATTGGTCTGATCGGCGGCACGTGACAAAATAATCGATGGTGATTGGTCTGATCGGCGGCACGTGACAAAATACTCGATGGTGATTGGTCTGATCGGCGGCACGTGACAAAATACTCGTTGGTGATTGGTCTGATCGGCGGCACGTGACAAAATACTCGTTGGTGATTGGTCTGATCGGCGGCACGTGACAAAATAATCGATGGTGACTGGTCACTCGATGATGAACCACAAATCGGCCCGTTCAGATCATAATTTAATTGTGATTTTTGGATTGTTGGTTTCTTAGTGGTTCTTAGTCGACGATTGCCTTGATATTTTCTTTCAGTTTGTCTATCCCACAACTCTTCTTGAACCCTTTAAGTTATAAGTTATAAGTTGAACTTCAGGATCAAAATATTGACCGTATTACTATTAGTAAAACATGCATTTAAGATGTAAGGAAGATATTTGGTTCTGAAACCAAGTTATATTCTTGACTTCTTGCGTTGTTGCTCTAAAACGTCTGCAATTGTTCCCTCAACTGCTCCTCGTTTTCTTTTGGCAAACCAAAAACTCATCAAATTGCGACTCCTATCTTCCTCTGCAATGATATTTTTGACAATAGTTTCCAAACTTCCGGGTAATTTCTATAACGTGTATTTTTCGTTTCCCCCGAGAAATTTCTGCAGTCTTAATTATCTCCTCGTGCAACTACAATATGTTGAGTTTAGCAACAGTTGTGATTTTGCAAGAGGCCATAGGTATTAGGTATTAAATACCACACAGATACCGCTATAAGATAAAGTTGTACTGTTGAGAGTTCATTAAATACCACACAGATACCGCTATAAGATAAAGTTGTACTGTTGAGAGAAGCCATTTTATTGTACCCTAGGATTATGCATATAATAAGTATGAATAGAGCGATATGTGTACTTTGTGCCGTTTACTGTCTTTATTGTTAGGTGCGTCTTCTGTAGCACTGTACTGAAACTATTAAAAATCAAGTAATAATGGTACAAACTTGTTACACATGTTTTGTAGGTTACACATGTTTTGTTGTATAAGAGATCATTCATATTACGATAATTACTCTTTCATAGTTAATTATTAAGCTATTAGTAGTAGACTATTTTGTATTATTACTATTAGATCTAGTTTTACATTACTTTATATCATATTTTATTGATCTGAGGTGTAGTATTGCCAGATCCCAGTTCAATTTGTAACGGAGTTTTATATTAACAGGAAACGATGTAACAGAGTCAATATATTTTAATGTTGCCATGGGGTGGCAAGTCCCCATACATCGTAGTCCGATAGTTTCACTGCGTCATGATATATTACGTAAGTTGACTTGGAGTGAGTCGTTTGGAGTAGCTAACTTAATGTCTGCACAATAGCTATAACATAGCTGCACACTGTATAGTGTATAGTATATTAAGTGGCTAATAATTCCCATAATCTGGCGAGCGTAATATGTGAACACGTACCGTATTTCTAAGATGTACCTGGTACAATATATCATGTCCTGATTACATTCAGTTGCACTGCATTATTTAATTGGTGGCTCATTTGTGCTAGACCATGTTATCACTCTTCCGATATTCCGAGCTCGTTATATTTGCCGGTTCATTTCGTTATTCCTGATTAGTTTTTATTATCAATTATTACCCACTGAAAACCTACCCCGGAGATTGGGAAGACTTGCCAAACATTTGCTGAGCAGCCTCGCCTAACCAGACTTCGTATAATCAGGTTATTGTAGTACATGTGTAATCATGTTCGTTCTACTAATTAGAAAATTAGAGAGACTACTGTTGCAGATGGTCTTTTAGCAGTCCCTGCAGAATCTTATCTTTTAGTGCCGCCTGCTCCTGAGAAAATGTAATTGTTCGTTTAATTGAGTTAATTTGATGCCACAGAGCACTTGCTCATGCAGATTGCAGATTGTGTGTATTTAGCTTTGGTGACAAAGAAACTGACAAAATATGTTCCGTGGATGTGCGAGTTGAGTTTTACGCGACGTTGCCTGCTGTTTATTTTTGGAAACATTTTACAAATGTTATTTATATATCTCGCAACAACTTGTTCAGTGTTCAGTTAACATTACTTGAAATTTTTTTCATATGGTTTTATCAGTTTATTTTATCGGTTTATTTTCTACCATCAAAATTGGCAGCGAAACATATTCATGTCTAAATATTTTCCAAGTGCAATGTAATGAAAGAGAAGTTGTGAACTGAATTACTGAATTAGTCCAATATTTCGATGAGCCGAATTTGTATTTTAATCTTCCTGTCATCTTTCCTCGTCCAAAACAGCTCACAAGGTACGTATTTACAATTTAAGTTGCAGAAAAAACGTTTGATCTGAACGTTTTTTAGTTGACAAGCTAGAGTCTGATTGTTGTGATTAATAGTCTGATCGTTGTGATTAATAGTCTGATCGTTCTGATTAATAGTCTGATCGTTCTGATTAATAGTCTGGCCTAACTATTTTTTTTCTATCCTTTATCCTGCTTCCCATTTTAACCACAGCTGCATCAAACGAGAAACTTAAAACAGTTCAATTTCACAGTACATATCAATAAGTCATACTCTACTTTAAATCTTTTGGTTGATTGAACATTTGGTTGATTTGACGTTATTAATCTTGCAATTTTAACTCATATGTATAATGTATATAGTATATAGTATATAGTATACAATATATTATATACATCTCCCGTCTGTGATACCTAGAAACCAAACGGGTTCCTAGCGGAGTCGGCACGTGTAACCTGGCTGGCAGTTTACCAGAACCTCCTAGATTATACTGATTAATAAATCAGTAAATGGTCCATTCTGGAACTCTAGTCTGTCATAAGTACAACTTGAACTTTGAGATCCTGCATTTCCACGTTATAACATAAAACCTGGTACTTATAAATAATTAAAATAAGTAAAATAAGTAAAATAAGTAAAATAAGTAAAATAAGTAAAATAAGTAAAATAAGTAAAATAAGTAAAATAAGTAAAATAAGTAAAATAAGTAAAATAAGTAAAATAAGTAAAATAAGTAAAATAAGTAAAATAAATAAAATAAGTAAAATAAGTAAAATAAGTAAAATAAGTAAAATAAGTCAAATAATTCAAATAAGTCAAATAAGTCAAATAAGTCAAATAAGTCAAATAATTCAAATAAGTAAAATAAGTAAAATGTACGTTATAACAAATAATATTTGATCGCAGAGGATAAAGCGGACTGCACGTCAGGACAGTTTTACGATCAAGACACCAAGAACTGTACAATATGTGAGTTTACCTCCGGTACCCTTTACAGTGAAGACGGTGCTGAAGAATGTAAACTATGTCCTAATAATGGTGCTAATTGCAGTGAGTCCGGAACATCGCTATTCTTATTTTTCATTTCCAATACTGTGATTTGATAGCATTGACGACATTATCAGTTCATCACATCATTGTTATTTAGACTTTATATTAAATCATGATTTATCCCTCTGAATTCTTTGAAACGAATAATTTACAGTGCATCTGGTTTGATTCTAAACTTTCATAAAATAATGCAGAAATACACAAAATAGAAACTTGAATAAAACCGAATGGCGACAAATAAAAGAATTTTTAAGCCTTTTGAAGATTGGCAATCAATATATTTTATTTGAATCTTAAAATTGGATTCTTTATAGTTTATACATAGTTCTTTTCACACTACTGATTAATAGTATAAGGAGTGTTGTAAACACCGTTTATTATTATTAAAATAAAAAACAACTCCCACACCTTCAGGATATAAATAATTGTATTAAAAAGTTAAAAGTATATATTGACCCTTATATTTTCCAGTTTGTGATACGACTAGCCCGGTGCACTACCTGCCAGAAGGAAGAAATATCAGCAAACTAGAGAAGTTTTGTTTTACTGAAGATGACCAGCTCATCTGTTCCCGGGACTGTTACATTCAGTCACGACACGCTCTTAAGGTAACTTCCTGATCAGCTCTCTCTCTCTCTCTCTCTCTCTCTCTCTCTCTCTCTCTCTCTCTCTCTCTCTCTCTCTCTCTCTCTCTCTCTCTCTCTCTCTCTCTCTCTCTCTCTCTCTCTCTCTCTCTCTCTCTCTCTCTCTCTCTCTCTCTCTCTCTCTCTCTCTCTCTCTCTCTCTCTCTCTCTCTCTCTCTCTCTCTCTCTCTCTCTCTCTCTCTCTCTCTCTCTCTCTCTCTCTCTCTCTCTCTCTCTCTCTCTCTCTCTCTCTCTCTCTCTCTCTCTCTCTCTCTCTCTCTCTCTCTCTCTCTCTCTCTCTCTCTCTCTCTCTCTCTCTCTCTCTCTCTCTCATTCTTCTATCTCTCTCTCTCTCTCTCTCTCTCTCTCTCTCTCTCTCTCTCTCTCTCTTCCTGTCCCTCCCCCTTATATTCAATAACCAATAACCATGGTCCATATTTATTCCCCCAATATCCAGATGCTTTTTTCGTGAATCTTTTCGGCTCTTCAAATCATATACACATAATTCTTATGGCGACGATATGCTTTCAGGGCTGTGATATCAACTGTGATGAAGAACTAAACATTTTAGACTGCAATTGTGATAATAACATAAGAACAAAGGAGTCATGTTTGAAAAGGAAAAACTTTACAAAAGTGTGTTTTCAAAATGGTTAGATTCCGTCAATCACTCAAAATTTGAGTTTTGTCTATTCTGAAGTTTACTATGGCATGTAAAGGTATTTGAACAAAATTTCAAAACTTTAAATTCTAAAACTTTGAATGTTAAAACAAATAACACCGATATCTTTCCCACCACGCAGAATGTGATGGACCGAGATACTACGACGAGTTCCTGGGTCCGGAGCTACTGGCAACCCTCGCCTCCTGCTACAGACAGTACAGGGCTAATAACACGTGCAGTAAATCAGAGTGCGCGCAGGTGCTCTCTGCTTATCTTCCTGATCTGCAGACGTGCAATTGTTATCATACCTATACTTTTAAAAACCAAGTTTCCGACGGGACTGCGGACTGTGAAGGTTATTTATTTATTTAATTAATTAATTAAATTTTTGTGAATAATGTCATCAAATTTAAACAGGTTAGGTATTAACCTTGATTAATGGGTCTGATGTCCATTTGATGTTTTATTTAATTTGTACGCCACGAAATTATTAAAAGCCTAACTTCTTATCAGGTCGAAGAGATTTCTTCATCCAGATGGAGAATTTGTGCACAGACGAACCTTCTCATACCAGTCTCACTCTTATCATAATAATAATCATGGTGGGAGTATTCTTAACAATTGGTAGTCTGTTACTCGGACGATGGTCTGCGGTTAATTATGCAAGGAAGCGTGAGTTTAATTTCCAAGTGATTATTACAATTTATCAGGCGCGGCCAATCGAGGTTTTAATGTACATACAACTTTTACAATTTGAATCAGACTAATAATTTCTTTGCCATTTGCAATAATACTTACATAACAGGGTTATTTGACAAAACAGGGTTTGAAAATGTTGACATTGGCAACATCGTTGACATCTCTAATTCTTAAACTTCTATCTGCTCAGTGAAGAAAAGCGGAAAAATCGGCAAGATAATCCGATTTGTTGACTGGCAAAATATAACTCCCCTGGGAGCAGCTGGGTTGGTGTACGAACAGGAGATCAATAAATGTTCAAATAAAAAGTTCAACGCGGACATGTTACACAACAAAGAGGTATATTTCTTTATATTTATAAATTATTATTCTCTATAATATTATATTAATACTAGATAGCTATTAGGAAGCTAATAGTATTTTTTGATAGTAAGTTTTTATCGCATCAAAAAATATCCGTCACAACCGAAGATACAGCCGAATTAAATTTAAAACACGTTAAACATTTAAAATGCAACCTTTTGCTTTTTACCTAATTTGCACGTGGGCGGTCGTACATACATTCTACAGACAGAAATAATTCTTTGAATTATAATAATGACTAGAAAACCCGTGGTCACAGGAAGGAAGCTAATAGTATTTTAGTATATTCACACTGTAGGTCACGATTGTGAGCATATGTATTTGATATTACTTTAGAGCTCTGCAAGAGATCGGGTTCTTTCAACTTAATTTATTTCTAAGAAAACAAGATCAATTCTGTTTTATAAATTCATAAAACAGAATTGATCTTACTTGTTTTCTTAGAAGTAATTAAGTTGAATTTTATTGCGTTTAAAGATAAGGCCATCGGTCCCTTATTAGTTCCCGGATTCATAAAACGCTTAATTCTGTTTCACGTAACTTGAGTCAATAATCATGTCATCATGAGGTGCTCCGTTATGAATACTGCTGATAAACGGATATTAAATATCACAATTGTGGGAAGTAGGTCCTTCTCCATTTGTATTGTTTCGATTTCACTTGTAGTTTGTCCGGTTTTAAGACCTCAGAAATTGTCTGACCTTTACTCTGATAATGCTTCTAGAATAATACTCAGCTATGACTCTACTTGATCAGGGAATTTCACGCTGAATGGATTTGCAGGGAGTCACAAGAGAGAGAAACTGGATAATTATAATTATTATATAATTTTATAGTTGGTCACAAAATATAGCTGTGATCGTTCTATACGATACTTGATATATATAAGCCGTTACAGTATCAGAATGTAAGACGTATTTCAGAGCATATTCACTATGATAAAATGATTGTGAAACTGAACTTAAAATAACCTAACTACACCAACATTACTAGGTTGTGGCATGGTGATGGAGAGAATTACTCCTTTAACGTCAGCAGAAGTCTCAGAAAATTCATCTATATTCAAGACCCATCTGAGTTTCATTGAGAAAAATTGGCTTAAAATGGTCGATAATGTAATCGTAGATACTTATCAATCTTCAAGCAACCATATCTTCTCTGCCATCCTTCACCTTAATTCTGATAAGCAAGTTAGTAGCTGTGACTTCCTCATCGACGATGAGGCATCCTTGGAAGAGATTGATGATTTCTTAGAGAAGGTCCTTGATGACAATACTATTACAAATCTCGCTTGGTTATTCACAACCAATTTACAGTCAAAGCATTTTGATTATGTACTCAAAACGTTTAAGCAAAGATTTGATGGCAAACATAGTGAAAATCCCCTTCGATTTGATCACAATATGTTCATTTCACCAACTTCAAAACCCGAGGAAATTACTGTGCCACGAGGCTACATGCTTGGTCCATTGCTAGAGGCTCATGCTGATGTCATGACGACCCAGTGGGCTCTGGATATTGGTTTCAATAAGGATTTTAATCTTAAACCTATTGTATTGGCGAACATAACGGAGAGACCATGCTTTGGTATTTTCACAGAAAGTGATCCAACTACACCGATTGGTTGGCTGTGTCTTTACTCTGGTGGTAGTATCGGAATGTTACATGTAAAGGAGGCCCACAGAGGTAGAGGGTTAGCTAGAATACTCGTTAGGAATACTCTGAAGAGAGTTCAGGAAACCCACGGAATGGAATGTCGGGTACATGCCTGTGTGAAGAAGGGGAATGCTGCGTCCATGGGTTTGTTGTTGTCAGAGGGGTGGCAACTTCAACCTTTTAACTACAAAAAAATGTTCTTTCGTAATAGTTGATGAGTGGTCTTCCTCCGCAATAGTTTTTACGATTACTAGATATATTGGGATCTTAAACGAGACATTCTTAAAGACTGTGCTGTTACTCCCTTTTACATTCTAGATGAATATCTTCATACTTTATATTTTCTAAGTTGTTCTTGTTGCTGAATGTCATTAGATGCGAATAAATGGATCTGAGGGTATGTCCGAGACATTTTGCCATTCCATGTTGTTATAAAGTATGTGTTAAGAGTTTTTTCGATTGCTGTTATACTTAAAAAGTTCTGAATTAGTCAGTTTGTTAGTATCGATCATAAGTTTATTAGTTTTTTATTATTAATCTTTGTTTTCTTTGTGTTCCATTATTTCTGGTGGGAACGCTTTGAAACAAGTCTATATGGTATAGTTGGACACTCTTGATATAGATAAAACCACTAACTTTTCTTCGCAAAAAAATTGGATGGAAAAAATTTCTGTGAAATCATCTATGACCTACGTAGTCGATTTTTGATATTTATGGCACATTTGTGGCACATTTGTGGAACGTCCCCAATTTTGCCCCAATTTGTGGCACGCTTGCCGTCATCTATGTCTGACTGTTTTAGAGTAGTTGGGTGTGTGTGTTTGTTATATAATTATTACTAATTACAGTTGTTACTATGAAGGTAGACCAATAATATTAGGTCGTAATTTAAACCATCTACATCTTAAAACGTTTTAGGCCCCTATCTATATCTGACCTAATACTAAATACTTGCTAAATTCCTAATAATTGATTTCAATCATAGTTTTTAATAGTTAAAGTCATAATAAATTAGGCTATGGTAGAATAAAACTGGTAGGTAATTGGTAAAAGGTAAATTACAAGATGGGGGCAGAGCCACAAAAACCGAGAACGCACATGTTTTTGGTACTTTTATCGCGGGCGCGGAGTAATATTAGATGATGTTGATAGCGCGCGTAATAAAACCTTAAACCATGTGGTATATTATGTACGTATGTACCGCGTATGATATGTACGTATGTAATATGTATGATGTATTTATTAATTCTTTTAATTTGAAGGATCCATATTTCTGCACAACTCGATTAGCAAGTCGATAATGTATCGATCGACCGATTATTTGTCTTAAATAATTAGTTAATCTGTTAAAATAATGCAGCTCAACGTTTTTCAGATTCTCCTGCGGGTTCAATTCAGTTTGTTAGGAGGTTTTGGTATCCAGTCCCAGCATGTCGTGTTGAAGATTTTCTCAGAATCGCAGTCAGAACAGCAAGGAATTGAACTTGGAATATTTAACTCAATATCTAATAAAGAGAAGTGAGTTTACTCTTCGCAAATTATTTTTATTGTGATTATGAGTAAACTAAAAATGCTTGGTTACTACAGTTCTTTTTGTGTTGGGGTGGAAACTGGGGGTTGATGTGGATTTTGGGGATAATCTTTAAAAAGCTCAAATTTTACCATCTTCAAATTCTCTTAAAATCTTAGTCAAATAAATATTAATAATAAAATTTTCTCCGCTTCTACATTAAATTTAAGGCAACAAAATATAGCTTATTAAGTGAACCCACTTGTAAAATGAATGTATACAATTGCTCTCCACTTGTCTGATTTAATCGCCAATTGTCTACGATTCCCCATCTCAAGGTCAAGTTTCTTGGCCAAGGTATTTAATATTTATCCAAACAACTGATTGGGTAACTTTGAAGTCTACCACTACTTTTTTTTTGTAACTTGTTGGTATGCACTTATTTGCAAACTTAGAGATGAGATACAGTTATAGTACACTCATATCATCTTAACATTGGAGTTTGGACCTAGAATGAAATCCCAAAAATTTTCCTTCTCTTCCCAAATAATGGGTCAAATCGTAAGAGGGGACCGGGACTTTGGGCTTGATACGAAAAACGCTTTTTCCCGAAAGTTGAAATTTAATCTCACTTCCCAAGTAGCTTTGTTTACTCTTCGTGCTAGAATATATAGAAACGCGAAACATCCTTGGCACGATACGATTTCTTTTCTTCAATTATTCGTTCAGAAACAATCTTGAAAATATCTTATCTTGAATTTTCGAGATTTATCCGCTGAATACTAACCATTTATGTTTGCCAGGGCTAACAAAAGCAACATAATAGCAGTTTATGGTCCGCCAATGAACGTGGACAATTCCGACCTGATAAGATTTTTAGAAACTCTTATTGAAAAATCCAAGACTTGCGCAGCCTTAAAAGATGTGATTGAAAGGAATTATATTGGTTGTACTGGAGGTTTTCGTGATAAAATAGAAACTCCTCGATGCAAGTAAGTGTACTGTTAAAGGAAATTAATTTCATTTTAATATCAGGAGTCAGGAATGTTACTATCTGTTAATCTGAAATTTACGCATCAGAATTGCTGATATTTCTCTTTTAATAAAATAACCTGACAGTGATTTCTAATGCTACTCCCAGGTATATCATGATGAACCACTGTAACGAATTATCTCTCACCGAGTTTATTAAAACACGACGTCTCACTCTTGACTTAGCGAAAGATCTCGCCAAAGATCTCGCTAAAGCTCTGGAGTACCTACATGAGGTGAGGATTTGTCGAGATGAAGATAAAAAACTGAAATAAAACTTTTTTAGGATGTGTTAAACAGGCGAATCTTATCGTTGATAAACTTAATCAAGATTTATTACAAGGTACCACCTGACAGATTATGGTCTCGATTCATTTCTGAATCCCCATAATTGACAATTTGCTCACAAAATTTTGTAATTTCAGGTAAACGAGCCGACTATAGTACATTGTGATGTTAAACCAGACAATATTTTTGTAAAGAGCCGCAAAACGACATCATTCATTCTCGGAGACTTTGGTTTTGCGGAAAGGTATGAGAATCAGACATTTACCCTAAGAGGTAGCACGCCCAGTTACGTCCCTCCAGAATGGTATTTGGGGCATTTGGACACTAAAATTAGCGATACTGCAGACCCACTCGAGCTTCAGCTACGAAATGATCGCGTTTCTGAACTCCAAAAGAGACTTTTTAGAGAACGCAGTGACAGACCCTGCAAAATAGACATTTACTCGTACGGGCTGATCATCTGGTTGTCACTCCACAATAAAACTGAACCGTGGACTGAGGAATCTTCCATTGACTGGAAACAGTACCTTCATGATCATAATCAAAATCAAAACAACCACAGAAACAGAACCTCGAAAGAGGTATTTCTCAGAGACCTATTTAACGATCCTGATAAGTTTGAAACCAGACCAACATGTCGAGAAGATGAAGTTTTGAACAATAACCCAGAATCTAAACTATTGCTTGAGCTTGCGAAAGATTGCTGGCAAGTTGATTCTGGTCAGAGACCATCATCATCAGAAATTCTTCAGAGGGACGTTTTTAGGGGGAAGTCAAGAAGATGTCATTATCAGAATAGTGCGGTTTAAATGATAAAATCGTTGAACTGCACGCTATAAATTTACTGTTTCAGTATATAAAAGCTATATGTATAGCTATGTTTCGAGCTCCGTTGAAATTAAATTGATTTTTAATTCATCTTAAATATGTTAAAGTTAAACATATTAAAGATGTCTGAAACCATCAGTCAAAATATCTCGAAAAAGTATCGATGGTTTTTGGATGTCACGCATTTTTGCATCATAAACACGATTGTTTCATAGCATAAACACGGATTTTTCATACACACGATTGTTTCATAAACACGAATGAAGATATGGCGGAATAACAGGTTATGCTAAAAACCGCCCAGTTAATTGTTCTGGGATTGGCAATTAAGGTAAATAGATTCGACTGGTATGGGGCATATGGGCGGTGCTCTAAGTCTACCTTTTATTCCACGCGTTTTATATAATAACATCTATAAACAAAAGAGCACCTAAAGAGGCTCAGCAAAGTGCTGGCCTATTTACGCTTACGAAGAATCATTCGTTCAATATGTCTCAAAGTAAATAAACTCCTCCATCCTACTCTATCTCTTGCTAAGTTCACTAAGTTGGTAAAATCATCTTCATTTTTCAAATAAATTTGTCTCTTAAATAGGTCCTTTTTCACAATAATATCATACAAATTAGTCCTGTGTCTACCCACTCGTCCCTTTAGTGTTTGACATCCTATTGTAGCAAATAACAGAGACTGGTAGGCAGGCGTGTCGTTGTCACTGCGTAGAACATGACCTAGCATTGTCCACCGTGCCTTTTCCACTCTCTCGGAAAGGGGCCTGGTCTGGGTACGAGCGTAGAGGGCCTTGTTAGATATTGAGCTAGGCCAATAGATGTGTAGGATGCGCTTGAGGTGCTTCCTCTGAACAACATCTACAGACTCTAGAACATGCTGAGGTACGGCCCAGCAGCAGCAGTTGTACAGGAGCACTGATACTACTAGTGAGTCGTAGAGTTTGATCTTTCTCTTCTCAGTTATCTGACTCCTCTCTGATCCCTGGCACCACAGCTTGTCAAACGACCAGAAGGCAGAGTTAGCTTTATTTATTCTATTAGTAACATCCTGCTCTGATCCAAGCTTAGTACCAAGAAGCGTCTCGTTTCTCCACTCCTCTTTTCCTCTTAGTTCATTACCCCACTCGTCACAGGCACCAACTTCTTCCAAGTACACTCTGGTAAACTTTGTCTTTGTGTCATTGACAAAGAGACTCCATTCACTGAGAATATTCTTGGAGATCTGAAAGATATCCTGTAACTCCTACATATCTTCACCAATCTCCTCTACATCGTCTGAATAGCCGGACTCAAGAGGCATGTGGTTATCGGCTATCGGAGGGTTTGGTCTTGAGGGGAGGACTGCTCTTATGTGCACTACAGCTCCAGCTAGATTGAGGGTAAACAATTTACCAGCTGTGCTGTCTCCTTGGGAGGCTCCTATGTTGAAAGAGAACATCTCTGAGTCAGTAGAACACACTCTGACTACTAGAGTGGTGTTAGCCATGAGGTATTGTACAAGCCTCAGGTTGTCTCTGGAGCATCCTGCAGCTTCTAGTAGTCTGATTGTTGTACCTCTGCGGATGGTATTGAAGGCAGCTGACATGTCGATACTCACTTTGTTCCATTCAAACTCCTTCTTCATTACTACAGATATGAGCATGCTCTGTGCCCAAACTAGGTCGGCACAGCTCCTGCCAGCTTTGTAGGCAGCTTGGAACGGTCCGGTGAAGTTGTCCACAGCTCTCTTTATTCTGTTTAGCACTATCAGCGACAGGATCTTTCTCGAAACATTCAGCAGGGTCAATGGTCGTATCGACTTAACTGGGCCACGAGTTTTACCAGGCTTAGCCAGTGGTGTGAGGATGCCTGCTCCTATGGCTTCAATGTGAATGTTTTTCTCGAAAGACTCGTTGAACACTTTAGCTAGCTCTTCATGAAGGAGGGGGTTGTTCAGGGCTTTCATGACCTCGCCAGGAACTTTATCAATACCCACTGCTTTACCAGACTTGAGTTTACTGATGGCTCTCTCTATCTCTGCAACGGTGATGGGACTGTTAAGGCTTGCAACGGTAATGGGACTGTCAAAGTACTCCTTAATAATCCTCGCTTTCTCCTCATTAGTACCTGCGATATTCCCAGCAGAGTTGTGGACGGTTAGAGCTGGTCTAACATATCCTTTGGCAAGTATCTTAGAGGCTCCAAAGTATCTCCGGGTGTCATCTGTGTTGTTTATCTCTTCGACGAGTGTGTCAGCACTGCGGTTGTTGATATCTCTGAGTCTCTTTGTGATCTTACGTCTTAGCTGGTTGATGTTGGTCTTGACATGCTTCCTGTTGGTCGGGAATTTGTTCTGCATATTCGCAATCATCAGCTGCTTGCGTTCAAGTGACAGTTCAGCGATCTCAGGATCAGCACTGAAGGATTTGTGCTTTTTTGGAGGTATAGTTCCTAGCACCTCGTCAGCAGTGTTATAGGCATCTGTTATCAGGTTGTTGAGGTCATCGTTGGGGTTGCCTGTCTTGGGTCTCATTCTTACTTTCTTCTCAAACGTACTCAGCATCTTCTTCTTAACTCCATGATCTTGTAGTCTCTTGAGGTCAAGCTTTCTGGACGTCTTGTGCTTCTTATGGACAAGGTACTTCTGGTGGAGTGTGACGCGAGCGACTACAGGCTTGTGATCTGATTTGAGTAGGGCTCCTCCGTATGAACGAGCGTCCGTGATATTCACTTTGTAGCTAGATTTACAAAGGATGTAGTCAATCTGCTTGTAGTATTTCACGGTCTTGTCGGGGTCACCTCGGGCTGTAGTAGTACCGTGCCATGATGTAATGTGACGAGCTGAATGTTTGAAGCTTGTGTTACAGGCATAAAAATCCTTCTCAATCATAAAATCAAGCAAACGTTGGCCATTGCTGTTACGTTGACCGACACCATACATACCCATATTGCGTGATAAACCAGAAAGGATGTCACCATCTGATTTACGACCCAGACGAGAATTAAAATCCCCGGCTATAAACACATCGTAATGAGCAGGAATATTGTCAAGTGCAGAATTCAGATCAGCGTAAAACTCCTCTAGAATGATGTTGGAATCACCTGTACAATCAGCATCCTCTACATTTTTCATGGTGGGTCCATACGCGTTAATGAGTCTGAAATAAGTCAATGTACCGTTTTTTGAATTAAGTCTGAAGTTGATGAAAGCAACTCTGTTACTGACACGTCTCCAATCAACAACTGATTTTCTGAGCTGAGGGCTGATTAGAAACCCCAAACCGTGATGATAAAAACCTTGAGGTAACTGTTCAAATAAAATAAGACTGTAGTTCATTAAGTCAATTTCAGCATAGTCCTGGCATTTAGTCTCCTGGAGAGCCACGAAATCAAAACCATACCTTTTAGCGTCCATAACAAGCTGCTCCTTTTTAAGGTCCTTTGTTAACCCATGAACGTTCCAACTAGCGATACTTAGCATAGACATCATAGCAATGATGAGTAAATTTACTGTAGTTGAGGTAGATTGAGATGTGAGAGTACAGGCGACGATCTTTTAAGGGACCGTAGTTGACACACGCTGTAACCCCTTTTGAGCGCGCGCCGGCGTGCACGCTTCGCGTGCACGAGAGGTATACAACGTGTAGCAAGACCGTAGGTGTCACATGTCTCCCCCAGCGTAGGCACGGGCATCACTCCTGTGCGACCATCCATGATCCACGCGTTTTGGTAAGTTAATAAAGTTATAAATATAAACCTACTTGATTAACGATGTCAATCCTTCGCAGCACGGCGTGGCCCAGTGGTGCATTTAATTACACATTACAGTATCGCACCTATCTTGTATCTAGCAAACGATCGGTTACCTAATACCTGGGGACCCCAGGCTATTATGTTCATAAACCGAATAAAGATTCGGCGGAATGACAGGCTGAGCGCCGCCCAGTAAACGATCGGTTCCGAGAAACATTATTTGATGCATTACTGGGCGGCGCTCAGCCTGCAATGACGACAGACAACGTTTAGTTTAAGTTTAACAACAAAACGTTTGGATGGCGTAGTGGAGGACTAGAAACTGAGAAACAAGAATCTAACTAAGTTGTATTGTCTGTACGCTGAGGTTCCATTTTCGTGGCAAATTATTGACCTGCACAATTGTGTACTCGACAAGGCAAACGCTTTTTAATTTAGTATTCAATTAAAAATGTAAGTTAATAGGATATAATAAGTTACATTAAATTTAATGAAGCAAGAAATGCTTAATAACAGCTCAGTTACTTTAAGTTTATCCATCGCATCAGTTAATCCAAATCTTCATCATTCATGAAAACCAATATTCAGTAGTTTTAACATTTAATATGTACTCATATGTACTGAATAATCTTTGTCGGGTATACACTGTTGAAGTTAACATAAAAGTCGGCAACACGATTTTAAAGATAAAGATAAAAGTTGTTATACATTATACTGAAAAAAGCAAAAATGTCTAATCTACATCAGCGGTTCATCTTTTAATGTTTTAATTAGTATTTGATCATATAATAGCTAATTATGATCATCAAATTGATGCTGCATTTAAAATCTCCGAAAGAACTTACAAAATGAAAGAGCACTTGAGAACATTTCGTATTACAAAAATAAATATCATACAAAATTACCGATAACAAAAACTGAAAATAAATCTTGACAAATCTTGCACGTTTCCTAAGAATAACGTGTCGACCGAAGGTAGGTAGGTCGAACAGCATTTTCATTTGAAGTACTGCAATTGATATCCCTAGGTAACACATACGCGTTAAAAACTTTTCGTAATTTTACAAACAGATAATTCATCTTATGTACAATTTATAAAAGATCGATATCGTCAGCAACCACGACGGTTGCCAATGAATGTCGAAAACAAAGACTTAACAATTGGTGGGAGGGGCGACGGAATGTTTTAGCACGTGACAGTTGCAATGAGCCAATCAAAAATATGGACAGCAATCACGTGACAAAACGACCTGCATCTCCTGCCCACTGGGAGTCAAGTTATTTACTGATTATTACGAATATTACCAATAATATCAGTAATAATACAGAGGGGGTGTTCACAAACTATTTTGAGGAGGGATATATCGGTTTATCTTAGTCGTAAATAACTGGTTAAGGACATTTTGTGAACGCTCCCTGAATACTCCCTAATTAGGGTGATTACTGATAACCCCTGCACTCTGACTAAGAAGAATTTACAGTCATTAGATTGGAAGGAATTTGTCGAGCAAGCCCCTGAGCAATGCTAGAAGGTCCATCTTTCTGGTCGACCTCGTCAATTTCACTTCTCAGGTTTAAAACCGCTTCCAAGTCTATCACAAAGTTGGAGGGCACTAACCCATTCTTGTTATCCAAAACTCCCTGACAAATAGTTCCCCATTAAAATAATGTTATGTCTGGTTTTAATGTAAAACGTGATTAATTTATAGCTGACAGCAGATAAAAACAACACAACATATAACGAAACGCTATAAAGACAAGCAGTACAACATTTACTAGACATAAAATATACCTTTAGAAAGCCTTCCGAATCCTGTCCGTAAACAAGGATCACGTCACCAGCCATGAAGCTTATCTCATTATGAGAGTCAGGGTTGGGGGACATGGCAAGAGGATGATAATCGTAGAGAGCAACAACTCGCCGTGTTATGGGAACGCTAACGACGCTACCCGGGGGTAGGTTAACAGTCTTATCTCCCACATTAGTCCTGTACCCCTCAGGGTCTTGCTCAGCACACAGTATCTGACCCACTTTGAATTCCCAGGAGTCTTGAGGGCAGATTATCCGGACTAGGAGCCGAGATTTGATCTCTTCTGGAAGGTTGTGAGTTTTGTCAACCTCAGATTCGGTGTCTGATGGAGGAGGGGTGGCCCCGGTATTTGGGGCCACAAAAAAGTAGGACAGCTGAGAAAAGAGTTCTGATTTGAAGAATGATATGGTGTCTGAAGGTAAGGACCGGTCTCCCTGAGAGTTCAGAGCGACGACATGAAAACATTGTTCGTCATCCTTCTCTCTCAGCTCAGAGAGGAACATAGTCTGCTTGAGTACATCTGATTTGGTTGTTGTTTCTAGCTCGTTGTTAAGATAGATGTGATAAGAAGCAGCGCCTTCCACTGGGCTCCATGACACTTCAATTCTATCCCGGTCCAGAATGTTGAGTTGCAGATCCTCGGGGGTTGAGGGTGCCAGGTCTATCGAGGTAGGAGGAGATGGGGGCTTCCAATCTCCTGCAGATCGAGGGAGTTTCAGTGGAGTTTCATAAGATATCTTTCATTCATCCACTCACACTTCTCAGCTTGCTTTGCTTGCTCAGGGTTCAATTTTGTCACAAGTTCAGGTCACATTCGCTCATTGGTCCAGTTTAACAGGTGCAGCGCACTGTTTGTGCCAACAAAAAGACTCACACAATTAAAGATGACTATATCACACTTGGTCACACATCACACAGTCCCATCACATCACACAATATATCACAGACACGATAAATTGTCACAGTCACACATTCAACTATTGTTAAACTATCTAGAGCATTTAAAGATAAGATGTACAGCGCAGAAATTTCACCCTGACTCCAGGTCTTGAAAATCAATAATATCTACCTGTAATCTCGGTTAGGAAAGTGGTGGACTGTGAGCAAGAGAAGGTCTTCTTGTTGATAACTGATGTATCCTCAGAAGTCAGTGTTACGATACGCACCTCGTACTCAGTATCTGCATCCAATCCTCTCAACATGTATCTAAGAAGTGATTGTTTGCTAACTCGAGAAACTATTGCAAATTAAGAAAACTGATGTTACTTATATACTGCATTATGCAGTATATAAGCTTATACACAAGCTCTTATCGAACTGATAAACGCGTGATAAGGCGGTATCTTTATTTACCACAGTAGTAAAATAAAATTACAAATATGCCCACTAAAAAGATGAGTGACTCACAGTAGCTCGCCCGGTTGCAGAATTGCTACATTTTCACCGTTAACAAACACTCCATGGTGGTAGTGAGCTTGACCCACAAACGTTAGCACGGCACTGTTTGTAGTCACGTTTGTAACGTCCAGACTGGCAGGGGCCTGAGAAAGATAACTAGTTAATATACGAGAAATAGGGTTCCTCCTCAGAAAAATTCAGCAGAACTGATCAATTTTAACCTCATTATAATATCATGACTCGATCTGACAAGACTTCATATCTCATTAGAATAAAACATAATGTTCTAGAAAGAACTATTAGAAAAATCACCTTGATAGTCTCCCGCCCGTACACGCAAGCTTTACTCTCCTGTCCATCTCCCATCATAGTTTGGGTTTGGATGGAGATGTAGAGGGGTCGTCCTGGTGGCAGCTCGTTTAACACAGTCCTACACTCTCCTGTGTTGGTTACCTGCAATAGTGTGTACGTTAAGGGCCTGCCGGTCGAGTTTCCGAATACTTTGCGTAATTTATTTCAGAAAACGTTACAAGATAATGATTAATGGTGTTAGTAAAGGTAAGAACACGAAACTTTCCTACACACTACAGGTTATAACTTGTAGACGAAGTAACGTACCTTGAACTCCTGACTGTTGACGTTTATCCTAAAACCTAGAATAGGAACAATAGCTCTGGTACCAGGCAGCTCCCACTTCAGCTCCAGTGTTTTAGTTCCGATAGCTTCACACTCGATCTCCTCAGGGACTGGAATGTCAGTGTTAACAGCATTCTCAGAGGGTAGCCCCACAACAGGAGCTATACTCATGCGCTGCTGAGACATTCTCCTCATCTGCTGAGTCTTCTTCTCGTTCAGCTCTACAGTTTGGATAAAGTTGCTCGGTACCAAACTGAAATGTAAATAGAATTAGAGAAGATTGTGATTGTTGTCTTATAACCAAGTACCTGTGATGGAATGATTAGATTTACAATAAAAATGCGATGTTTTTTATTTTATACTCAAATGACTGACCCTCTTTCTCCGGACATGAGTTCAGCAGTGAAGAAGCCATCTGAGTCAGGATCTCCGAATATGTAGATGAAGTCTCCAGAAGCAAGGGTAAGCTCGTCCTCGGGGTAGTCGTTGGGGGACATTTGGGTGGGATCGTAGCTGTATAGTACTAGAGCTACCTGGATCTCACCGATATCTTCATCATCTTCTTCTTCTATTCCAATACTCTGCAGGGAATGAATTAAATAATTAATTATTAATTAATCAAATAATTTATTAGGCGGGGTATATTGTGAGAAAGATAACTTGTGAACATGTTGGTTTATTTGAAGACTTGACTTTGGGGGAGATGGATTCAGATTTTGTAATGAGACAAAATAAAATGTAATATATTATCATAAAACTGGATAACTTCAAATTAAAAATACAAACGAAATACAACTAAAGAATAACACAAAGTGATGGATCTGAAAAGTGACAGCCAGAAATCAATCTCTGCCTTATTGCCCAAAATCTGAATTCTGAATAATATCATGATAAAAATCAATACAATCATCAAATTCGACAAGGTCATCATTAAAATGATTGAATGACTTTATGTGAAAAATTTCTCAAAAGAATCTGCCTCAAAGGAATCTGACCACGATCCATGTAACAGTTAATGTTGTGGAAAATTTGACATCAGGCAGGCCTGTCCTGAAGAAGACAATTCTAGCTCCTTTGGCAATGGTCACTTATTCCATGAAATGTGGCTTGTAATATTGAACCAAATCTGAGAGTGAATGACAAGTATCTACGGAGAGTTCATTAAAATAGAAATGTGATCCAGGAAGACATTGACCATTTCTGCTCACATTTTCCGTCCCAATTATAATGTCATATCAGAAGAATGAGCTAATATATGATTGGTATAATAAATAATGATCTAATAAATTAAACTACGGACCTGATCATCAGAGATAGTGACGTTGGGAGTACTTTTTCCGGTGAAGCTGGGTCGTTGAGTCTGAATCCTCTGGCCTAACTCGCCCATAAATCCTTTAGGTCGCTTTCTGTAAAACTAATGGTTACCTCAGGTTATCCATTTCAAAGTCATATAGACAGGTGCGGTTAATGATACAAATCAAGTTCACACGATATATTTAAAGTTGACTTACTCGTTGACAATAGTCCTGTAGTTTTGGATTTCATCCTTCAACATCATGTTCTCGTTAGCGAGCTCGGCTAATCTCTTGTTCAACTCCTTAGAATCCACGTTAGAGCGACTAGATGCTACACTGCTGTATATTTCCTGTATCTCACGGTCTTTTTCAGAGATGTTTTCCTTCAGGGAGACGTTCACGCTCTTTAGATCGCCAATCTACAGAAGAAGAGTTTGGCTGTTAAATACTCAGATGATTTTGAAATCTTGGGAGGCTGAATGTCAACAAAATAATAATGATCGGTATGTTAAGATTGTGACTCTTTATTACAATTATCCCATATTTGGTATCATAAATTAGTGGAAGTGTCCCTGACCTGTGACATAAGATGTGTCCTCTCTTTGTTTTGGTCTGACTTCAAGTTAGCCAGATCATCATCTCTTCTAGACACTTTCGTCTGTAGATGAGACACCTATGGGGATTTTAGTGATTAGAATTAGGATGTAATTAATTAATAATTATGCTTGTTGAATGATTAGTCAGGTGGCAGAACCCGAGTGTACCATGCTAGGGCTCTCTCATCATGAGATCCCGGTGATGTCAAAACATGTTGTCTGCCGGTTAACTTGACTGGTGTCAAGGTTTTGAGATTGCCGATACACGAATCGATTATCTCTTGATCAGCCACAACTGATTGGATCCCATATCGGACATGTGATATGAGTCCATCTAAATCAACGGAGTATTTACAAATTATGCAGCATGAGAGCAGGTTTAGCTTCTCTAAATAGGACACTCGAGAACTCAATTAGGATGTATCAGGACAGACCGTTACCAATATATAACTCAGTCGACTCATAAGGTTTATTATCAGTTATCGTCATCATCTTCTCTACATCAATTTACCAGAAATCAATACATTATACGTCATGAGTTCTTCATTTGAAGTTTACCTCAACGCACTCTTCAGAAGATCTAATCCTAATCACGATATACAGATGGCAACTTCGCCTAGTCTCGGTGCTCATTACAAAGGAAATCCTGTTCTTGGAACTCCATACATTACATCGCTGACTTCTCCTCCTCCTTACACAAATCTGCAGTCTATTGGTGTTCCTTACATGAACTCTAGACCTCTTACTGTTCCTCACGCCACTACTCTTACTCCAGTACCAAGCCCTCACCCTTACGCTAAACGGAGCTTTGGATACAGGAATGTTGATCGTTCTAAACCTTACCGATTGGAGCTACCAACAACTAAGCTAGAAGTACAACCAGAGACTCCTGCTTTACCGACCCCTCTACTCACACCTGTACCAATGTTGTCCTCTACTCTGAACACCACCACTCCACCTACCACCCCTGGTTCTATCTCCCCTCCGCAGTTCTTCTTTCCTCCTGACTTCCCTCTACCCAACAAGGCAGATCAGCAGAACCTGAGAACACCCTCGCCTGCTCCTGCTATCCAGAACCAGATCCTAACACCACCTGGAACCCCAGCTCAGACCCCTTCTTCTTTTGGCAAGGCTCCAAAACAGAAGAGGAGGAGAACCAAGTTCACTACATTCCAGCTAGACGTGTTAGAACGGGAGTTTGACGACTGCAACTATATCTCGACTGAGAGGAGACAAAGTTTGGCAGCAGTGCTCGGGTTGACGTCAGAGAATATCAGAGTTTGGTTCCAGAACAGACGAACTCAGATCAAAAGGATGGAGAACAACCGACCCAAACACATTTAGATTAATTAATTTGTGGATATTTTGTTACTAAATTGTAAATATTATATTATGTTTATCACTACAATACCAGCGTTTTATTTAAATAACAAAAAAAATTTAATCAATCTTCTTATTCTTAAATGGATGGCTTGATTTAATTAATAATGACCCACCTGTTTCTCGACCTCCTTCTTCACTTGCATCATTGTTTCATCGTGCTTCTTCTGTAGTTTCTTCAGAGCGTTATCCTTCTGCCTGATTTCCTGGAGCATGTTGAGAGTTGCTTTGGAGTCCTCTGAGGTGGGGTTCTTGGACAGAGCCGTCTCCAGCTCCATATCTCGAGCCTGAAAGGAGGAGTTAATTGGTCATTTTCAATGTTTATTCATGATCATCGGTCTTAAACGATAGCAGCGAATTGTAGGTGGACTAAACGGGTTTTACACTGAATAGAGCATCAGAAGGTTTGTTATTTTGTATCGTTTTGATTCGTAAGGTAAGCGGTTGAGTTTCAGCATAACTTACAGCCATCCTAGCAGAAAGATCTTCCGTCTCAACCTCAAACCGTTCCTTCTCGACTGCAGCATCAGTTTCTCATCAGCTAACTTGGTGTTGTCCCGTTTGTGGGTCTCCACATCAGTCTCCAGGGATCTCACTAATTCCTCAAGCTGGTTATTACGAACTTTCAGGTTCCGTAACTGGTCCAACACCTCTTCAGTTGTGGTCTCAAAGTTCATTTGTTCCTCCCTCATGATCTCCTTGTCGTGTTTCAAGTTCTCAACAAGGGCCTCAAGTTGTCGAACTACCCCGGACTTGTCCATCACCTCCTCTGATGCTTCGTGTAGCTCCTGAACCACAGAGTTGGGCAATTAGTGGGCAATCTGCATTAGTTGTAGAATTAGTTATACATTACTATTAATTGATAATTAATTATGTAATCATGTAATAATTATGGGGATCATGTTTTTTTCTTCCATTTTTGTCCATTTTTGTCCATACGATTTTGTTCATCCTCAGAAAATAGGGTACCGCATGGACAAAAATGGACATAAATGGACAAAAATTGTAACTTTTGATTTGGATTGTCTCCAAAATTTGTAACAAACTGCCTGCAGAAATGGTTAGCGACCAATCACGATCAACGACCATGGCTCTTTTTAGTGTAAACTTTGGTAATTTTTTCAATCTCTAAATCCTCATTTAGGTACAGAAAATAGTTTGTATTTCTATAATGACTCTCAAAGAGAGAAACCTTTGATCAAAGGTAACTAGGTAAGTAACCTAAGTATTACCAAGATATGATTTCGAGACCAGCTACAGCTGCCTGTAATCTGTATTTTGTTCTGAGATTCGACCTGTATGTCCTGTAACAATCAGTAGGTCGTAGATCAGATTTTGAGACTTTTTCACTCAGTATTGGACCTATAGATCTAGATCTAGAAGGTATCGTTCACATATTACGTAATCAGCCGAGGGGAAGGGAGTTTCCAAATGATTACGCTAGTGTAATTTCGCCACAATAGCTATGTGTAAAACTAATTACGGAGGGGAAAGAGGGGGGGGGGGTTCAAAATTAGCCAAAAATTGATTACGTATTATATGTGAACGAAAATTCCCCTTTCGTCTAGGACTTTTTCCATATATTTTGAAATTTGTTGTCCATTTTTGTCCATTTTTGTCCACCTTGAAAATATAGGGTGCCACATGGACAAAAATGGACTTAAAACATGATCCCCTAATTATGCAATGTTAGATACAGAATTACCAGACATTCGAACTCTAAACATCGCAACAATGCGACTCATAAATAATGTTCTTATTCAGACACATAATTATATAATGTTATTCATAATTCGCAATCTACCCAAACTAAGCTTACGACAACATTGGCAGCAAATAATATTATAGTTATATTTTTACCCTACGTTTTAGGGTCTACACAAGGGCGTTCTTATTATTATTCCTTTTTCATAATTTTAATTTGCTATCAATAAGTTTTGAATGAAACCTAGTCTATGATAAAATTAGAGAATCATTTCCATACCTGATGAAGTTTCATGATTGTGAGCTGTTTCTCCCGGAGATCTCCAGTTAGCTGTTCAACATCCTTCTTGGCTTCTGACAGCTCCTTTTCAAGGTTACCGTTCATCTGTAATAGAGGTGGCTAAAGAGCGCATTAGTTTTTGTTTTTCAGTTTTATTAGCCTTAAAATTTGATACCACCAGATAGAGAGGTAACATGAATATAGGAATTACTAGCCGGACTAAATCAGTTTATCTCAGAATTCAACTGGCCCAGGAGTTTGTAGTTTCATTCAATTTACAGAACTAGAAATGCCCACAATCGTTAAACTTACGCCGTAGTCGCCTCCCTCTGCGTCACTTAAAGAATTGTTCTGATCCTGAAGATTTTTGATTTCGTCGTTCAGTTTCTCGATCTCAGCAATTGAGGTGTTCAGCTTCGAGTCCTTCACTTCCAGCTCGCTAAAGTACGAGCCAGCTTTCCGGTTTAGAGATGCAACCTCCTGCTTGTACTGAAAATAAGCCGATTTAGAGGAAGAAAAGTTTCATTTTTATTCAATAAAGCAGCTTAAAATGCTCAAAGTAAAACAATTTAACTGATTCGGATTACCGAATTACACTCTAATCTTGCGAAGTATATTCTTTAGGGGGGAAGCCAAGGGGTATTTTGGAGTACTTTGGGGTATTATGGGGGACTCTATTATGGGGGATTTCAAAAATCCACGAAGGCAATTCCTCAAAATACCCAAAAATACCTCAAAGTTACTAAAATACCCCCTGTGCCTTGACAATGTATTTGTAAGTTGTTTACAGATGCCATTCTATGGTGTTATATACTTATATAGGGAATGAGGCATAATTTCAAAGTCCTGAGACATTAGGTTGTATGGAATGCGTGATCTTCATTATTGGGACCTTCTTCGATCTCTGATGTCTCTACAGCGTCGCAGGGAGCGGTTTAATGTTTATTCTAATTCATATGTGGAAGATTCTCCATCACCATGGCCATACCAGCAACGGCATTAACGTGCAGTTATTCTGCAGGCCACGTTTTGGAAACCTTGAAGTCATTCCATCTGTCGTTGTTTTGAGTGTCCGATCCGAAACCAAATCCTGGGTTACACAAGACGTGGTAGCCTGTGAGCGTGTATAGTGTATACCGCTCCGCTATGATACAATAGTTTTAAAGGTAAATGCGATCGATTAAATCCACCAGGAAGCCACTAAAATGAGCGTTAAATATTCAGCGTGGTTGTTAGAACCGTATACGAGTCACCAAATTGTTCAAAATTATCTGGTGTTCTAGGCTAATCCAAGAACTCGTGAGGCCAGGAAATGTGTGAAACAAAAGGTTTGAAGGCAAGAAATATTTCTGACTGCCCTTTTAAGTTTTCTATCCTTCTAAGGGGATTAGCATAATAATGTCATAACCTCGCCTACCCTAGCTGCGAGATTACTCGCGTTGCATTATTGAAAACGTCAACTTGGAGCTGTTGCTTTGACAAAAACTAGCTTTCCTAGATGGTGAAACTTGCAAGCTTTTGGTCTATTTGCAAGCTTTTGGTCTATTAACTCTTTTAACAATTTCAACTAAAACATCCACTGAAAAATGGACTGAAACTGGTTTGTGTTTAAACATAAACTGTTGCCACAATGAATATTTAGAATAATTTTGGGGTATTATGGGGGATTTCTAAAATCCATTAAGGCATTCCCCATAATACCCCAAAATACCCGTTGGCTTCCCTCTCTTTACCTTAAGATATTTGGTTGGGGAGGCGGGTTATCGCTGTGAAGTACAGTACTACTCACGAAGTACTGTACACGATGTTTTCAACCCACGAGTCAGAGAGCAAGCTCAACTGACGGCTCCCAGATGATCCCCCTCTTTACCTGTTCGAGTTTCTCACTGAGCGACGCTATCTTGCCCATATCCTTCTCCCTAAGCTGATGAAGAGCCTCCAACTGTTCCTCGAACTGCTCGAGCAGCTTGTCGTTAGCGTGGACACCTCCTAGAGTGAGCGAGGTGTCCTGAGGGGCTGCTGACTCCTTTATTTCTGGTTCTTGGAACATGAACTGACCTCCACCCATGTCGAAATCTGCAAATAGAGCCGTAAGAGGTTGTAAAGGATGGAATTTAACGTTTCTCGAAACTGGTTTGAGGAATATGAGTTTGAGTTCATCAGATAAATTATTAAATTCGACCTTATCGCCCTCCTTAAAATAATTTGAAGTTTTGGGACCTTTCCACAGTCATCACAGACTGATATAAAGGAACAGAGAACTAGTCATCCTACTAGAAACACATGGTCTCTACCGGTACATCAATAGTTTCTACCTTGTATTTGTGAGGTCAGACCCCTCCAATTATAAGACCCCTGACTGACCTGACCTCACGAATCTCCGAAATTATCCAATTATTCAATATTCTCGGTGACGTATATTGCAATTAAAGGTTGCAACAATGCAATTATTAGTGATTGGTTCCTTTGAATACCACACCGCGCCGGTCAGCCGGTGCTACAAACATCTATATTTTCTTGGCTGTCCGACATATTTTGTTACACGTACTCGTTGAATGGAAAAGTAATTTGGCGGAGCTGAGGGGCGGAGAAGTAAGACATAATATTAGCATAAACATTCCAATGCGAAATAGGGCAATCTTTTATTCAGTTTATGCATTGGTCTCATTGGTCCCTTATGTAGTTTCTACAATATCTACTTTTATTGCTGTTAATTTCGGCTTCATCATTCAAATTTTAAGTCCTATTGTTGCTAGATATAATACAACCCATTTGCTATATAACTCATTACATACTCATACTGTAAAAGAAGTATCTTTTGATCGACTCAGGTTATTCAGAGCAAATTGAACTGTTACAGTGTTACAAGAAGTCATGTTGTCGTTGTTGCTCAATAACTATTATACTTTAGAAAATGTAACTTTTGATGGACTCGAGATATTCAGAACAAATTTACCGTTTCATGTTGTGTTGCTGTTGTTCTCAATAAATTTTATATACTATGTACTATTTCAAACTGTCATGGGATTTAATGAGGTCCCCGCCCTTATTTTTTTGAAATAACTTTTTTTCTAGCGATGATCTCCAACCAGACCTCTCATTCCACAAACTAATGGAAAATGATGCTGAGCGATTCATCTGGGCTGCGTGGCTCATTCTTATGTTCCTAGTCTCTCTATTTGGGGATTCTATCATTCTAGTTGCTTCTATAAAGTACAAAGCCTTCAAACTGCACAAAGTTATAGTGATATTTATTCAGCACATTGCGGTCTGTGATCTTCTCTTGTCATTTGTGAGTATTTTGACTCAATACGTTTCTCTAATTGCGAACCGCTGGGTCTTTGGATCATTTATTTGTTACGTAGAAGTCTACCTCGGCTTCTTATGTAACACAGCAAGTGTGTTTCTAATCTGCGGAATGACTGTAAGCAAGGTACTGACGTTAAAGTTCCCTCTCAAAGCAACTTCTTGGTCAGAAAAACAGGGTCACATGATCTGCGCAGGAATTTGGATCTTATCATGCTGCGTTCCGGGCACATTCCTTATCGTGGATAAGGACGATATACTGTTTCTTAAGAGCAGGTATACTTGCATCTACCACGCTACCTCCTCTACCTGGAAGTGGCTGAGACCGGTACTTTCCTTCTTATTTGTGGCGGCTCCAATCATTACAGTCGTAGCAACATCCCTTATACTACTGAAGCATCTACTGTACGCGAGACAAGTATCAAGCCGATCGAGTGGCAATGTCCGTTGGCAAGGTATCGCAACTGTAGTTCTTACAGCCACAGTTTATTGTGTCTCCTTTATACCCAGGGCAGTGAGTATTATGACTAAGGGTCGTATAGTGAACGGCTGGTATGAGATATACGCTCCGAGGGTCGGGGAGACGTTTATGTATTTCAACGTTGCGGCTAATTTCTTTGTTTATATTCTCACAGTGCCCAGTTTTCAAAAGTTTCTTAAAACAAGAATTCAACTGATGAAATCCTGTGTTATCATGAACTCAGGTAAGTGAAACAATTAGACAGATTTATTATATCATTATAATTGTTGGGTTGATTTCACATGATATTGATGCTTACGTGTATTTGATTCATATCATGGATAACAAATTTATTTCTCAGGAAGATCTTGTGGAAAAGTAACGGACGTAACAACTAGAGAACACCAGGGGACCAGCAACAAACAGCAAACATCCGAAATACACCTGAACCCAGGTCTTGATGGAAATATTTGACTACGAAACAAACTGATCATGGTCTCAACTCATACCAGTGCTATATTATTAAAAATTAGCCAACAATTTGCAGTCTTGACATTTTAAGAATAATATGTATTAGTATGAAGACATTAAGTCGAGATACCGACTCAAATGCGTCAAGTGATAACTTTGTATATTCAAGTAATTGTTATTCAATTCATGATGAACAAATTTATACTTTTAAATCAAATTAACCATCCAAACCTCCTAAAAACTAAATGAAGGCTGAAAAACTTACTGTTTTCGTACATATCGTCTTCTTCCTCATCGTAGATCTCAACCTGAATCTCCTGGTCTTTATGTGTTGTCGTCAGGGTTTGCTGTTCCCTGGAAAATAGCACCTGTTAACCGACCAATTATCCAATTATAGGACCAATTAATTACCGACCAATTATCCAATTAACGATCACCAGTGAGGAATGTTGAGTTGGACGCTTGCCAACATATTATAAGAAGCAACACTATTCAAGTTGATTATCCCAGCAGTATAAAAATACCACTAATGTTGTTATACTTAGTCAGTACATAGTCTGGTAGGCGCCAGCACACGGTAGGTTATGGAAAGTCACGTTCGTTATTTTTTATTCTTGACCGAACAAGAAATACATGCACCAAGTAAACAGGAGACATACTAAACTAGGGTCAATTGAAACATACGTGCTGGTGTATTTAGATCTGTCTATCGTCACAACATTCCCGTTCGGTACCACTTTCTCAACTGGTACCACTTTTTCAACCGGTACCACCGGTACCACTTTCTTAGTACCAGGCGAATCCTTCCTTTTCCCAACGGGTTTCTTTTTTGGTAGCTTCTTCCCCTTGCCACTCTCCTCATCATCTTCACCATCCTCAGTTAGTTTCATCATCATGAGGGGCGAAGGTGAGCGACTGTGAGTGATCTTCCTAGCAGCTCGCGGTGATCTCGGGATCTGACGTTTACCAGGAGGAGCTAGGCTGAAGGGTGATGGGATTTTGGACTTCTTGTCGTCGTTGTCGTCTGAATCTTTGTCTTGGGATTCGTTTAGGATGACCTCCTGAGATTAAAGACATTATTAAAATAAACGGTTTAATTAAATATTAATCTGCAGACTTCATCCAATCACACTTAAAGAAACCTGAAATAAATTCCATCGTTACGAAAGTCCATCTAAAACACTTTCTCAGACCGCACCTTCTCAGTAATATTCTTCAGCAGTTCCTTATGTTGCTGCCTCAGAGCGGAGATCTCATTGTCTATCTTCTCATCCCCCGTTTGTTGCCGGGTCTTCTCCAACAGAGCTATCTTCCGTTCCAGAACATTCCGCTCCTTGTTGGCTAGCTTCAGGTAGCTTTCTAGATCCTTCGGTGAGGGTTTACCCTGGGAGAATTATAATTTATTTAACAGTGTTAGAGGGAAAGGAATGAAGCCAAATTGACAAGAAGGGAATCGGGAACCAGACGAAAAAAGGAGGATCCGTTTATGATATTTCACGGAAATTTTCTGCACCTTAGATTTTTTTGCCACGTTAAAAAGCTAGACTTACATCTTTGTCCTTAGCATTGAGTTTCTTGTCAGCAGCTTCTATCTTCTCCTTGCTAGTTACTTTATTCAAGTTCTTCTTCCTCTCAGCCTGAAACGAGTATTAATAAATATTATTAAAATTAATTAAGTAAATATTGTATATCGTGATGTAAATAATATGTAAACATTTTAAATAATGAATCATTTGGAAAAATAAGTAAACCACAAGAAAACAGGACAAACAGACTTGCACACATCGAACTGAATAACAGAGGATCACAAACTAAACATACATCTCCTTTTTTGAGTTTGACAGATTTGTCCACCCTTCGTCTTTTAACAGGATGAGGAGGAGAGGGTCGAATACCAATCATTCCATCAACCGAGTAAGAACACTGGATCACATCTATATCAAACACATGGGTGATAGATTGGACACCATTCATGGTAAGAGTTTATAGCAACAACATATGGGTGGAAACAAACTGCAAAACCTTTTGAAGCAACACGGCACAAGAGAAAAACTTTCAATATGCATATTAATAAGATTAAAAGAGCAACAACTGATTTCATACCAAACAAGCTAATAAACTGAGATAACAGAATATCACATACCGTAGCATACACACATCACACTATTACTACACCGTCTAACCTAGACCAGCAACAGAATGATTATATATTCCTTTTAAAGGAGTGTGTCACGGTTAACCAATAACCATGATCACCTCCCAATCGTGGCAAGCTGCAGTGATATAATGGACGACCAATGGGTTACATGGTATTTGTTCATGTCTGCTGAATTAAGCTGTGCAGAATTATAGGTATGATGTAAGGGAGATAACTTATCGATATCTTTGTGGCCATCTGCAACCTGCAACCTGCAACCTGCAACCTGTACAGCTACTTGAAGTGAATACCACACACAACGTGTCCGGAGCAGGTATGCAGTAACAACGGGAGGTTCGAGATGTTGTACAATATAGCTCGGCCACCCTGTAGGACCTTAACCGTAAGATCTTTAATGGCATGTCTTTGAGGTCAAGCACAACTTCGGACGCAGCAAATTGCAGAAAGTGCACAGCAATGAGTAATTCAGGTGTTGCAACATATCTGCAGGGAACGGTGGGGAGGCAGTGATATTGTGTACAAGGAGCAACCAACTTACTGCGGTTATTAAAGATAAACACGGACCTCCAGACGAGGTGAGAACATTTGTTTGTGATGAAGTAATGCCCGGCAATGCAGTTCCTATGTTGCACAATAAAGTAAACAAAACCACGGTAAGAGTGTTCTTGGTGGAGAAAATCACAGAATAGTGTCACTGTACGTTTTAAAAGAAGGCTATTAAAAATAAAAAGCCAGCGTGTCTACTTGACATGAAACCATTGAGCAAAACTCTCCGGGTCTAGGACAGCAATATTTAGAGTATTTAAAGGTAAAACTTCCCAAATTATACGCAACTGAGCAGAACAAGTGGGTGGCTTTTAAAAGGGTGACTATCACTCGAACTAGAGAATATGAGACAAGAGATTATTTACTGATAAGAGATCATGCAGGGGTGATCATGTTATCAGAACGGCAGACAATCGGTAAAAATGAGACATGATATCGAAGTAGAACCATGTGTTTCCCGCCACACGTAATATTGGTCCCTAGTGTATCGAGTTTCAACAGCCAATCAGACATCAGAACTTGGGTCACGTGACTGTCACAAACCATTCACAGATACCGTGTTCAGTTACATGGTGTTGGCGGGAGCAGTAACTTGAACCGTACAGTAGAAAGAGGAAGTAGGTTCACAACATGTGGTTTTTGATGAAAGTTGTGCCAGATTTTTGGGGCAGCCGGGTCTCAAGTGACATGTACATATTTGTCACGATAACCATTATTTCCGCGATAATATCAGGATAATATATCAGGCGGACCAGCATGAAACTGGATATGGGAATATTGTTAGGAGTAGCGATTACCGCAGGAGCACCTGTAAATTGTACGGATATAACTAGAAACAAACACTCTTCCGAGCATTGTACCATGAAGCTTGCCCCTGGGGACTGGAGAGAGAGTCTGCACCTGGGGACTGGAGAGAGAGACCAGCTCTTTTTTAGTGTGACAGTGTTAGATTAACCAGATGGTTGGCAAGTTAGTAAAAACGTGTCACGTGTCTAACAACAAAACAGAATGTTCCCGGTTAAAAAGTGAGAGGCTATCAATTCCCCTAACAACAACTAAAACAATGATTATCAACGCGATACCAAAGGGTGCTAAACGAAAATCGTTGGCAAATATCCACAAAATTCACAAAGTGCAGGAATATCCATGAATACAGAACCAAGATTCCAGAGTGCAAGTAACATGACCCAGGATGAGCAACCTTACTAAAGCACCCCCTACGAACACCCCGGTAACACGACTCTTGTCCGACAGCGACATCTGTCCGAAAGCGACATCTGTCCGAATCAGGGTACCAGAAAAAAACGACATCTGTCCGAAATTGTGACCTGATTTCAATACGACACATTTCCAATTAGAGACATGATCTAAACTGTTACTTGCTAAATTGTATACGTAACATGTCCAATTTGAGATATGATCTGAGCCATAGTTTACTATCACAGTTTATTTTAATTTGATGTCGATAAATTGGACAATAGTTTCAATGTTATTTAAATGTTATAAATTAATTCAATATATTACAATATCACAGAATAAAATCTGAAGCATAGTCAAATTTCCGATAGCTTTAAGGAAATCCATAGGGTTGCTGTAGTTGTCGTAATCATCTACAATTCTCTGAAGTTGTCGATCATAACGGATCCATTTGGGTGCACGTGGCTCAGGTAGTTCCCGCCCGTCTCTTTTGGTTTTCTTCACGTCTGTATAAAGGGCTTGTTCTGCTTTAAGGCAATCAAGGAACTTCCAAATTGTGGGCTTCGAGCAGGACAGCATTGAATAGAATCCGTGATGCCAACCCTGCTCGTAGTCCATGAGGATGGATTGTGGTTGGTAGCCCCCAGAAGCCCAGGTGTCTATCTCCTCGAACAGGTTGCGGTAGAGGGTCGTCGTAGAGGCCATGGACTGTGAAGAGCTGATGGAAGAGATTAGGTGCGGATTTGAAGGTACGTCGACTACCCAATGCTCCGCGTCCACCATATGATCTGCGTTCTTAGGAGTCCCCCAAAGGAAAGATCGACGAGTCCGTTCGTCCCATCCAGAGTCCCAGAGCATCATTGGTTCGTTGTCGGTAGAGAGGATGTAGTTTGCAGGAATGGAGAGCGTTTCCAGATCTCTCGGGTTAGAAGGGTGTCTGTTAGCTGCTTTTCTGCTTCTCTTTACCATTCTGTTGAGGGATGACAGCTGGCAGCCAAGCTTTGCTCTAGATTCGTAACCCAATCCACCGACTGCTTCAGATACGAGGTATTTCGTCGGTTGATCTCCACCAGAAGCCTTTCTTTTCAAGTTCTGTTTGCTGACGTGGACGGTCGTTTCAGCATGGTGGACAGGGTGAGTGTGGTCAGGAGTAGGAGTGATCAGTTGTCTGTCCACGGTACGGATGCGGGCTCTGCAACCCTTTCGGAATTCCGAACATTTCCAGTAGGAGGTGTCGTTACTTCGCTTGTCGAAGACGTATCTGAAGCCATTTAGGATAGGGTTCTCCGAGCCTTGTTTGCGTCCAGGGATAAACTGAAAATTGGTTGCCATTGTGGATTGCGATAAGTGATCTCCATACTGCTGTCCTATATGTACTCATGTCCTGTGATGTGATCGACAGCTTGTTAGGGTACGGCTAGCACGATCCTGTTCTCAACTAGTCAATCACGTATCGATGGATCAGATCTTAAGGGATCACATCAGCTTTAGAAAGTCACGAGATTACCTGTGAGCTTGTGAAATGCGAATGTGAACCGAAATTACAATATGATCCAAAATTCGGACAGATGTCGCCAAAAACGACTCCTGTCCGACAGCGACATCTGTCCGAAATCCCTAATTCAGCTTTCGGACAGATGTCGCTGTCGGACAGATGTCGCCCAATCGAACACCCCTCTCCTTCCATAACCGTTAAATCACGGACTAAGATCGTATCACCATTAGGGAGGTGCTTCACCGTCTCCTCCATTGTTCACTAAAGCTAATCAGACACGAAATTTGAGAACGATTTGTGCGACTGGACACTTTGTCGGAAGCTGCTAAATGTTATTGGTAAATGAAGTTAGGTAGGTGGCAGGTCTTATTTAATGATCCGTTAAAAGCCATGATCAAATCAGGAGTTAAAACGACTGATAGAGTAGACACGATCTAATGAATTGGTGTTACTTGGGACGGTGCGACTTCCAAAGTTGCAGAAATATATTTAATTTATGTGGCATCTATTAACACGATTTGACTGAGAGATGATTATTAAAAGGATTTGTTGCCACGTTCATTTAAACGGGGGCATATTCAGAGGAAGCCGTCAATGTCTAGCTCTGAAAGTTTCTCATCTAAAAGTCAAGGTGATTGCTTCAATAAACGATGATCAAGTAGACAACACACACATAGTGCACTAAGAGTAACACATCAAGACAGAGCGAGTTAGACGATATTTCACATGCAGCAATCTTCGTGACATATGTGAGCGTGTAGCCTAGCTCTCGCTAGTCAAGTGTTATTATTAGACGTTAGATACCAATCATATTATGTAGGTTACACATTGCTACGTGGCCACGTGGTCTCTTGTTTGGGCTTCGTTAGCCTGCACTTTAAACGCTCGAGGCTATGCTGGAGGCTTGTATACGTGATGATATTAAACATATCGCAATTTGTAAGGCTTAACAAATTGTGAGATTTAGTCATCATGTTCAAGCAGCTAAATAGTTTAAAACTAGGAGACTAATTTCTGAGTAGAAAAAAACAACGTTCTCAAAGAAGTGTTGGTTAAGCCATTGTGATAATTAATATAACGTAAAATAAATGGGAAAACTATAATTATATTTAAATAGGTAACTACGAGACTAACTCTAATAAAAACAACAACAGGCCAGGGCAGTGGAGAGGAGCGACTCATGACAGGGTATCATTTATAGCAGACTAACTGGCTAGTAACTAGTCCTCACTGGTAACTAGTCCTCACTGGTAACTAGTCCTCACTGGGAATGAAGACTAGTAACTAGTACTCATTCGGAATGAACAAAGGCTGTTCAGTGGACACGAGGAATTTGAACGTGACTTTGGTAAAATTAAGTTTATCCCAAATCCTAATGATTTAATTATTTAATAAAGAGAAAGAGAGGAGAAGATCGAACAGAATTTAATTTAAATAAATCTGCAAATGACCTTTCTCTAAATTAGCGCCCAAAATTACTTAAACACATGGATAGTCCTCCACAAACCTAACTCTGCACACTTACAACACACTCTCACGAGAAGAACAAAGAGCCAGAACAAGCAGAAACAACAACCTGGCAACAACCCAAATCTACATCCTAGGGGAGGAGGCAACACACACCAGGCTCCCTGTACTTGATACGTGATACACAGGTGAAGTTAAGTGGAGCGGAGTGATACCCCATATTACTACAGTCTACACTCTCAGGTCTCTCACACATGGGCCTGTAAATGAGATGACATCTAATGATCATCACTGATCACTAATAACTGCACAGAGGAATCGTTGGTTACTGCGGGAAGTATTACGTACCAGAGTATCGGGCGGCAACTTATAACATGTTAGTATCATGCAAATTGCCGCTTTCGTCAGCAATAAACCGATGAATTTCTTGGATAAATTTGGACAAGAGTTGTGATAATTTAAGGTGAAGTTTTAAATGTTCGTATCGGATACACTATAAGAGCAACAAGCACAAGACAAAATTGATGCCAACAGGATTAAAGGCGGATCCGGTTAAACATCAACAGCAACGATTAATAAAATTATCCAGACCACGTGACATCTGATTTAAGTAGGTATTCAAGTTCATTGCTGATCATGACATCATCCCAACGCAAACCAATCACCACTGACTGCGACAACAGCAGGATGATATCTACAAATTATAGCAAATGCCACACACGACGAATTGAAACGATGTGACATATTGCATGCAATGATCGTCACATTCTGCGGATATGAAACATACACGACACACGCTCAGAATAAGAAGGTTGTTTCTAAGTGCTGCACATTCTCTGCAGTGTACAATACACACGCAAACCGTAATGTTGCAATTGAAAAAAGGCGGGAAAATGGCCCTAAACAATATGTGAGCCTGCAAAAACTCAGCACGCGCAACACGTTGCCAATATAACATATTATGAGCATACAATTTGAACCGCAGTAAACATATTATGAATGGAACGCAGTGTACAACAAAACCACAATGTAACCATAATACATAACAATACACTGGACCGTTCCAAGCCGGATTTAAGATAGTAATAACACAGAGAACTACAGCGTGTACAGAACAGAGGAGCTCATTTGTTCAGGATACTCTGTTTAGAGAGAGCAATAAACCATCCTCCACTCCTTATATGGCATAATTGGTTGTCTAGAGGCAGCAGTGGTGGACTGCGCATATATTATACTTGGGGGGAGGCAGGCTAACGTGATCTCGTTAACCGTAATTAGCAGTGAGTGACTTGTTGTTAATGTTCTTTTTAACGAGGTAATTGTGTTATTCCTGGCCGTGAAACCTCCTGAAACCTGTGAAACCTCTTGTTTCAGTTCGCGACAAAGTGGTTGTGATTAGTGCATCATGCGACTAGTATAATTATGCTATGTTGGACTGCTGTGGTTGTAGTATATGTAATTAGATAACTACATGTAGGGCGCAGTAGCACTATGGATCAACTTTGTAACTATATAATGTTACTATTTATACCTACTGTGTAGTGCGTACCAAGGTTTCCCATCAATAGTGCGGGAAATAACCACAGTATCAAATCGAAAAAGCACGAACAACACACATTTTTGAGAGTTCAGAACAAAACAAAAGAGCTCAAATCTCGGTCAGATACTAAGATCTGAGATCAGGCTCGCAGAAATAAGGAGGTTATCAAATATTCTGTTATGAGCGCGTCACATTTAAATGATATCCAGAATATTCCAGATCATCACAATGGTGAGTCAACAACACAGCCACGACTCAAGTTTGATCGCTGCCTGGAAATTAGTGATTAGGAAGGTGTTCTTGAATTAAAAGAGTCTGAGAATAAAGACGTGATGGCTGGATCTTTGGGGGAAATTAGGCTCATGAAAGAGTTGCCAGGCAACCACGTGATATTAGGAAAGGTATGGTGAAGATAAGACAGCATAAGAATATGACAATAGCATTGCCGGCTGTCAAGGTAAGATATGGCATTATACATACGGTAAATAGAGACGACCGAAATTGAAAACTCTGAATTAAAAGAACAATAAGTCGTAGAGGAAAGCTAGTTATAAGCAAGTTATTGAAACTGGATACCCGATAACACGTGTTTTAACATTCTGATAATTCCTTAATTCCTGTGCTATGTCATGTTGATAAACACAGATATTTGAGAATTACACAACATATTGGCGGAATATATTCAATTGGCGTATAATATTTAATAATCGATTGTTTACCCATAAAATTGGAGACGAAACTCATAAAATAAGACAAAACTCATAATATATCATAATATAAGGCCATTTTTTGGTACGATTTTTAGCGCATCAAAGTATGACTGTGTAACTGTAAAATTCATTTCATGTCATGGTCATCCGTCATTCGTAAGTCGTTATCTTCGATTACAAAATAACATCACATTGCAAGGTGAATACGAAAACGACAATACCATGGCCATGGTAATAAGCCTCAGCCTCAAAAGATGAAATCTGCTCCAACGATGACAAAACAAACAAACAAACTTCCTCCATACACACCATACTCGACAAACAAACACACTACCACAGCTCTGTTATAAACATGACAACACCTGTAATCTGTAACAACACTGTAACAACACTGTAACAACACTGTAACAACACTGTAACAACACTGTAACAACACTGTAACAACACTGTAACAACACTGTAACAACACTGTAACAACACTGTAACAACACTGTAACAACACTGTAACAACACCTGTGACAACACCTGTATTCTGTAACAACACTGACCTGCGGAGACTCCTTCACCTCTTTCTCCTCAGGTTTCTGCTTCTTTAACGTGCCTCGTCCACCCTTCTCAGTATCTTTAATCTTCCTTATCAGCTCTATGTTCTGAGACTCAGCTATCGTCTTGAGACTCTCTAATTTCCGTACTGTCTCTTCTAATTCTGCTATTTTCTTGTTCTGTCGGTCCAGCTGGCGGAAAGATATGGTTCACGTTCAATTTAACAGCTAGCAACATACATTTTTGCGACGATAGGGAACTTATATCTTCTCAAGCAAGCGCGATACAAAAACTCATTCTCGCGGATTCTCGTTGGACTGATCTTCGCAATATTTTATAGCCATTCCCCGAGTAAATTACATTCACGATAATGATGTTTACAATATTATGATAAATGAAAATGATGGACCACCACAACAATTATATACAATGAGACTGTGTTAGATTACAAATCAGAGGCGGAAAGACCAACCTACCATTCTGATATGAAACATTAAGATTTTAGATTCATAATGCTCCCGGTCTATCGTTCTCCCAACGTCAGGGACCGAACCAAATTCTACATTTTTTCTTCTCATGTACACAAAACTACACGTAAATATTAGCAAAATTCTTCATTCGGCAAGTGGTAAAAAGTTTTAGCAATATTCGAAATTTTAAACAAAACCGATCAATCCAACAGAAGTCTTATCTAAACTATCTAAACTAAGCAAATTAGTTAGAACCCTACCTTGCGACATTAACGAGATGCCACAAAAAGTGTAACTAACACAGGAAAAGCAGACACTATACAATAAAGGATCGGAACAGTAGACAGAGTGTCTAGTTATAGACCAATATGTCTACAAACCAGGAAACGGTCTTCACAAAGCATGCAGGGTGGTACACTGGTAGTACAATGTACAAGGTGTGAGAGAGAGAGAGCTAGGACGGGATCAGGGTCCTTAGCAGAGCAGGCAAGTAACCATGTACTGGGTACCCATTATAGTGTACTGGAGAGAGCCCGGGAATCGTGACATCTGCCTGTGAACATCTGCTGCTCTGTGATTATAGAACGCCGTACTCGTACGCCTGATTATAGATTGCAGATGATATGTGAAGGAGGGCTGACAGTCCTGACACCCTTTACATCGGTAGAATTTTCAACCGTTTGAAAGTTTTTCATGAGTTAGATTTGAACTGACAAAAGACGAATTTCAAGACAAAATTCAAAACGGTTTTTTATGGAAAGATAAGTTTAAATGACCAATAAAATTTAAATTAAAGCAACTGTTTGACTAAGACACATCTACGATATAATTGCGAGGGACAAATTACACCAAAAATTATGCATGATCTTGAAGGTAATAAATTGGTACTTTATACAAGTGCTGATTAAGCCCTAGTGACGTAGCTTACATGAGTTCATAGGAGGACAAGGAAATTACACGAAAGTTCACTGAATCTGATAAAGATGATAAAACGAACAAACAGAGGATTGAGTTAGAGCCGAAGAAGAGATTTTAATGAAGAAAGCACAGAAAAACTAAACAATCTTTTGGTAAAGAAACAATTTTATGATTGGACAAGACTCTACGAGAGGTATTTGATAATTTGTATAGGACATAACTGCAATTATGCAATATGCATGCTCTTGATCCTAGGTACTGAATAAATACTTTACAAGTCCTGATTATGCCCAAATGACGAGTCTTGGATGAGTTCATAGGAAGTCAAGGAAATGAGACCTCAGTTCACTGAATCTGATTACACTGATAAACCATACAAGGTTTCACTAGACTCAGGGGCTGTAACGTTAAGATTAGATCCAGCAACTAACTGAACGACGAACAACTAAGTCACTTATTCGTAAATCTACTGAGATGTACTTCCCCAATTCTATGTCAGGAAGATGTTAAAAGGTTGAGATGCAAATGTTCCAAGACTGGACTCCACGAAAGATATTTTGATAAAGGAGCAAATGCATAAAACCAAGCAAACAATCGAAAATGCACGAATTTTGATCTAAACTAACACGTACAACCTAATGTATAAAACGTAACACATAACAATACCAGTGTATTCCGTACTTATCAGAGATATGCTGTTATCACAGTCTTTCACTGCCGATTGTACTCAAGGTGATATGCATGATCACTGATAACTTTATTCTAAATGCACCACGGTATCAATAAGTAAACACAAATAAAATTATAAGTACATTTATGTGCCCCAAGAGATGCGCCTAAATAGGAGTTGGACAAGATGGAGGAGGTGACCACAGAGAAGTGTTATCCGGTCAGGATACCAATGCAAATATACACTCATTGTCATCCTAACATCCAGGGCACATATGGCACGTGACCACAGTTTCACTGACATATCCAATGAGTTTGTTGAGTAGATGTAATGAAGTTATAGCAACATCGTGCTCAGTGCTCGCTCTGCTTGGAGATTACATGCATATCTTATGACAAGATTGTTACAGTTTTACTCTTCATCTGTTCGTCGGTGAATCTAAAAGTAATCTGGTCGGTTGAGAGCAATGCCGAGTTCATTTGAGCAGCAGATTTATCTATTTTTAGACCAAACCTGCACTTAAGAAAACAAGCTTGAGTGAGAAATTCAAAAGCTATCCGAAATTCGTTGAAAAAATGCTAGAAGGAATGTCATTTAAAGAAAATCAGCGGCTGAAAGCAATTGCTCTCAGCCGGGGGCAATCTTAGGGGGCGCCAAATCGTCGTTTGAATGTGGGACAATTTCGAAAAACTTAACTACGGTACTAGGAAAACTGCGCGTTTTGATCTAGAGACTAGAAACACACTTTTTAGAGATTTTACCGGTGTATCCTCTAAAATCATCTAATTTGTTCAATTTTAAGGAGGGGCCGGCTCCTAAAGGGGAGGGGCGCCAACAGGGGGGCGCTTTTTCATTAAAAGAAAGACAGAGCACATACTTACCGCATAAACAACTGGTCCGAAAATACAGCATTTCCTCATCAAGACCTCGTTTCCTCATAAAACAAGAGCTATCCACTAGGTGAATGAGCGAACATGGTCGAAAGATAGACTGATAGCCTATAACAATACTGTGAATTTTTATAAACTTTTTACAGTGGCAATTAATTGTGGAATGTAAATTGGGTATTGGCCAATCATGATGGAATGATTCATACTCTGAGATCGACAACCACAGTGCTTCGGCATCTGTGGAATGCAGTCGATTCAAATTTCACGATTGTTTAGTAGTTGGCATTGTGGCATCATGTGGTCCAAGTGGGTTCAGCCAGACCGGCCCGAAAACTCCTATAACTCCATCACACATCATCAGCGATTCAGCTCAGCCAAGCCTGGCTAAGGTGGCCGGGCCGGTGTAAAATAATCGCGCGCATTTGCGCGCGCGTCACGAGAATTAATGCGCGTGTAATAACTAAGAAAATAGTTGCTGCGCGTGACAGAAGCTCACTTAAAACGATGTGACCGAAATTGGTCTTTAACACGTGGTCTCAACTCTAATAGTTTTTACTTACAATTGTTGTTTCATAGCCGAAGGTACTTGTTCTGCGCTGCTTTGCATCTTTAGCACACTCTTCCGCTCTGTCCTGCACAAAAACAAAGGTCAGGCACAAAACGTTAGTTGTGATGAAAAGCTTAACTGCAGTGATCGGATAACTGTAAATCATGTGGTCTCCATGATCTGAGTAACAATTAGACCACTACACAGTTATTCAAAAATAAAATCAAATGCTGTTTCAGATCACTTATGTGCAAGATTGTTTTTACAGATATTTATTTTCTTTGAATGATTAAAAAGCAAGGGTAGATTTCAATGAGAATACAAGACACATAGATGAATCTAGGGCTTGACGATTTGGACACATTTTGATATACTGCATTAAATAATTAATAATTTAACTAGGTCAATTACGACCAAAATTATCATATGTAATCGATTTCAATCAATTGACATATTACCCTTAAAGTTCGAAGAGCAACCATCTAAAACGGAGGAAAACAAGTCAGTTTCAACATAATATTAGGAGATGATAATGGTTTTAAATGGAGTAATGGTCGGATAACGGCTGTATAACGTGAAAATTAAAATGTATTGAAAAGCAGCTTACCCTTTCTAATTCGGCTTGTTTGGCAAGATATTCTTCTTTGGTCAACTTTTCGTTTGTGTCAGCCAACTTTTTCTCTAATCGCCTTTTTTCTCCACTTTCCTGGAAGAGATAATCATTTTAAAAACCAGGAACTAAAAAGTGCTGCCCCCAATTTTATAAGACGGCAGAACATCTTCTTCCACATAATCTAAAATAAACAAAAGAAAAAATTGTATTTCAACGACAAAGTACCTTGTATATTTCTATGTGAAAATCTTTCATCAGTTTCTCCATCTTAGTGTCGTAGGATGATCGTATCTGTCTGATTTCCTCAAACAGACCTTTGTTTGTTGTTTCCAAGAGTCGGATCTCTGATTCCATCTTTCTCTTATCATTCTGAACAGAGGGTAGAAGGTTGATTAAATATTCATCAAGGTAAACTTACAAGTGATAATACTTGGCTGAGCTGAGATAACTGACTGATGAACGTTCATACAATCATCAGCTAATTCCATCATTAGTGTTGCAACAATCTGAATCAAGCTAAACCACATACATTATCATTAATGTAAAGAGATGATTTGACTTACTTTGAGAATGGACATGTCAAATGTGATTTTCTTTTTATCAGCAGCATGTTGGTTTTGTAGTTGTAGAGTTAAGTCACGTGTTAGTTGTTCTCTCAAATCGTAACAGTTCGCTTTCTCTGCTTCTAGTTTGTTGTGTAATTCCTGTCACGTGTACAAGTTACAGTGTGGGTCAACTTCAGTTGAAATGCTCAAATGAATCAAGGAAAGGAAACCTATGATATTTCTCGAGTTTCTTCAATTGGGCAACATTACTCTCCTTCAAATAAACCGTACCTGTATATTTTGATGTTTCTCTTTACACAGCAGCTTATACTTGATAATTTCATCTTCCTGTTTTTTCTTATCTTTCCTCAGATCCAGCAACTGTCTCCGGAAATCTTCAAGTTGTTCAACAAACGCGAACTCGGAAAGATGGACATCTCGTGTTAGGGACCCGTTCTCGTTACTACTAACACTTGTTCTACGTGACCTAGTTTGTCCTGTAGGAGTGCCTGGTCATATGTTAGCAATTAAATATCATTTAATTTTAAAGAATGGAGAATTTATTCCAGAATACTCTACAAAGTCACAGCATCGAGCATAAATTAAATTTTACGAATACCAGTTAACACCGATATAATACATGTCAAGCTCAGTTTACACATTGTTACAAGCGCCAAGTATAGTGAACAAAGTTTGTGTTTGTTATTTAAGTTCACTGGGTAAATCCTAATAAGTACAAACCGTTTGGTAAGTTTCATTCGTTAATTACTACCAAATATACGCAGTTACAGCATACAATTTACACATTTACATGCAGTTACAATTACATGCAGTTATAATAAATACCTATAAATCACCAAGAATGTATGATAAAAGCTGACCTCTGCATGAAATTCAGGAGAAACCAATAAATGAATTAATTTAAAAGACAATCAACGGTCTAATTAACGAGTGAAACTAAAAGTAATTCCCTAGATTAAATTACTCTTAGATTCACCTGTTACGTTGCTATTTTAAGCTCCTAGTTTTCATACATAATTGAGCAGAAATAAAAAGTAGCTAATCATCTAGACAATTACATGCAAAATAATCAGCTGAAGAGGAAATCATGCACAAGATAACAGCGATAACACCATGTCACCACACTACTGTTTCACATGAACTTACGCTTGAACAACCGTGACTGTTCTTTTAAGCTCAAGGAGGGTGTATCATCTGATCCTGTTTATTATCTTATTGTAACTAATGCGATTGATCAATTGCTTTAACTTACTTTTACTTTTAACAACAGGCAAGTTTGATTTCATTGGTATCTGTTAACGAAGGCTGAAGAGTAAGTTTAAACAATCTACGAGGAAGTTTACTGAGCAAACTGTAAACGTTTAAAACTCGGAAATATGTGCCATTAACAAATCCAGTACACGTGACCAGATGCAAATAATAAATGTAGTAATAAGTTTGAACTAACCAGCAGATGAAGGAGCAGGAGATGTGGGTGCTAAGTGCTGTTGTTGTGTGCTTGGACTAGGTGCTTTAAGCGAGGGCAGCTTCGATACTCTCCGGTGTGCGCTCATGTCCCCCCTCGTACATCCTGACACGTGGGGAAGGGAGGGGTCAGAGGGGGGTTGACAGCTTTTAAAGGGTTGACAGCCTTTACAGTTGACAGCTAGATCAACAGCTAACACAGTACAGATATGCAGTTTTAAACAGTTAATAGTTGACAGTTCAAACAGGGCACACGGTCATTATTTAACTTCAAAGTTGCAGAGCGAGATGTATCGGATAAACTTTCATCGTTTTCGTGTCATCATTACGAGTTTCGTTTAAACAGAGAGAGAGAGAGAGTTAACCTAGGACAATTTAATGATATTTACCGTTAATGTGTGCAAACTTTTGATCGTCTTGTTAAGAGATGTTAAGTTAGCTTTTAAAATGGATAGCAGTGGAAGCAATGCAAACAGTCACAAGTAAAATTGCAAAATGACATAACCATAGGCTCGAAATTAGCTTTGTCAAAATAGGTCGTCGACAGGAAAAACGTCTTAAAATAGCGCAACATTAATAAAACTGTCCATATAAAAGCTTTAATTATCATCAATTAATATTTCATGGGACACAACATTTGAAAAAAAATAGACTTTCGAAATAAACAGAGACCAGCTAACTGATTAGGTATTTAGCTATAACGACACAATGGTGTAATGAAGATAATGGATAAAAAGTAAGTAAAATGTCTCAGAACATTCTTAGGTAACCAGCTGTGATTTAAGAATACCATTTGTGGGAGTGAGTGGCAGCCGGGATGGGTACCTGAGTTTGGTTTGTGTCTACTCCTACTGCATCTCAGTGAGTGAAGTTGAGGTGTGGTGAGTGTGGAGTGATAACAACCTGTGCGATCTTCTGACAACACCGGCCTGAGTGTGGTTACTAATGGTTACTAATGTAGTTACTAGGTTACCAATTTAGTGACTATTTGTGTGAATAGAGAGATAGCAACGGCACACGATTCTCCGACTCATCCTCTCCGAGAGGGGAATATAGAGAGATTTCTATTATGCTCCTGACATCTCCTTATAAGGTATAATAACCCTAGAATCCTATCTCTGGAATTGGGAGGGTAACAAAAGATTGACGCACACCTGGACTGGTTACTAAGACAGGTAATCGTTATAGTTTAGACTGCCATTAGGACTCGGATCAAGGCAACACTCACGAGTCACGTGAAATAACAACGTACTCCACACTAAAACACATCAATAAAGTACAAAATATCACAAAATATCCATTATTATAACCACAGTATAACATATATAATAATGAACACTATAAAATATATCATTATACTATACTGCTGGCAATGTACCTATTAAACCAAGTCACATATTCCTCTTAGAGGTCTATGTACTCTAATTCATAATATAATAGCCAATGAGCATTGAGCCTAACAAAGCATGAAATGGTTTTTTGCGCCAGTGAGGATAGCGCATATTACATCTATTCATAGCGAGGGCATCAGATTTTGCCACCTGGCATTCATCAAATTACTTGTATATCATTAACTTTTCTCAGAATTGCTTTGACACGTGATAAACAGTTCACAAATGTTATTGCTTGACAATGATCAGCGATCAAGGGCTAGAAATATCACGTGTCAAAGTGCCAGGTATATCATAAGTGCTTCAGGAGAAGCGAGGGGAATTTGTTCAGTTACAATGAATACACCTACAAGATACACGTAACACAACTAAAGAATCACTAATAGTTTGGGGTACCCATAAGATATCAAGGGATAACAGCTATACTACTAACAAAGTTACATTATATTATGAGCTGAAGATAAGGTACGCGTCAAGAAGTCGAGTTAACTTTCAGTATGAACAGTTAGTCGAGCCAATAATAGCTGGGCTAGATATCATACAGTGTACAGTGAGGTGGTGGTAAGATATTATAAGTGAGGTGGTAAGATATTATAAGTGAGGTGGTAAGATATTATAAGTGAGGTGGTAAGATATTATAAGTGAGGTGGTGGTAAGATATTATAAGTGAGGTGGTAAGATATCATAAGTGAGGTGGTAAGATATTATCAATATGAAGTCTAACAACGTCACACTTAGTTCTTAAGCACACCATGGCCACATTATATAAAGATAGGGGCTGTAACTTTATTGTGGTAGAACTTTACAGAGCACGATCCAACCAAACCATCCAGCTAATAAAGCTATTTTTCACGACTGCATCAAAAATAAATGTTAGAAGTGAATCACTTGACCGACACGTCGTCCACTCCGTGAAACACAAATTTGACTGACCACCATCAATTAACGCCAGATAACAACCACAACAACGAATTGTATTGCTCTTTAACCGTGCGCAATTATTCAATATTTAATATCAGACTCAAGGAACAAGTTATAAATTATACACGCTAGACGAGCGGCTACTGTAACCACCAACTGCACAATAGTTATGCGCAAGCCACAACAACTCAACAACAGCAGGATGAGATAACGATTGTTTCAGGCAGAGGAGGACACAAGAAGTGTGCAACACACAACAAGATCAAGCTGTCCACTCTCGACCACACTGTATCCCGTACCACCTCCCGCCACATAGCAACAGAGAGAGAGAGAGAGAGAGAGAGAGAGAGAGAGAGAGGGGGAAACCACAGCGGGGCACCATGCTGAGTAAAACATACGACTGTCCGGTAGTTGACAAGTTCTAGTCTACTACAGGGATTCCTTCTCAGAGCTCGATATATCGTGTATTATATGATCCCTTGTGATGATTGATCACGTGTTATGTCACGTGTTATGTCACGTCACGTGGTGTTTGGTCACGTGATGTGTTGTACGGCTTTACAGAACCCCTTCTGGTACTTTACTGTAATCTCTCCACTGTGTGGTGTTGTTAGTGTTTGAAGTGTTAAGATGGTTTGTGGGTCTTCACAATGTGTGTTTGGGAGGGTTACAATCTTGTTCTGACATCTCCGACAGGGATGTTCCGACAAAGTAGGGTGGTTGTTGTAACGAGATGACAGGAGACAGATAGCACGGACTATTTAACATTTATTACAGACACTCAACGTGCTGAATTTTAACTGAGTGATCTTTCAATCAGGGGTCTGGGGCTGATAAGGACGTTGTTGCTGCTAACTACTAACTACTAACTACTAAGTATTAAGTACTACTTGTAGGCGCCACAATGTCCCACCACCTACAAAATACTCACAAACTGAGGAACTGTTTAAACACCATCTGACGATAACGCGCCTCTGGAGGGGGGGGGGGCAACCTCATTTTACCTCATTTCACCTCATCCCAATTTTTCCCTTTTTGGCTGCCCGAATGAGGTAAAATGAGGTTCCCCCCCCCCCCCCCGCCTCTACAACATGACGTTAAGACTTAAGTGACGTGTACAATTAGTACAATTAGTACAATTAGTGACGTGTACAATTAGTGACGTATACAATTAGTGCCAAACTCAGCAGCAACTTTATCCGAGTATCTACAAGACAACAACTATATAAACCCTGTGTTAGCAATACTCGCCATCACAATAATATGTTTGTTAGCAGTACTCACTGAGAGCTGAGAGATCCTTCTTGAATTGCAGATAAGAAGGGGACGTCTGGATAGAGTGTTCCGAGTTAAAGTAGCGACACTTCATGAGAGGACGGGGTTTACGAACAGGGTGTACCACACCGCATTGTACTTCAACCCACTTCACCATTATTTGTAGAGTAGTTCAGCAGGTGTAATGCCAGGGTATTCAGTAGTCAGAGAAGGAGCTCACCAAAGCAAAGAAATGTAAAAGTTCTGGATACTGATTTTGTAGATGTAGCGTTGGGTGAACAAAGAAAGTTGTCTTCAATCAGCAAGGTTTGGCAATTATATAACGATTATATTGTAACAAAACGATAACTGATTCCTCGGTCTTTGAGAGTTTGAGCTCCACCCCCCTCTGTTCAAAGTCTTTTACCTCACGTAAAATCCGTGGTACAGTTCAACAAATAACAATAAACCAATACTGGGTATATATCACAACCAATACAACACAAACCGAACAACAATACTAACAGTAACCAGTACATAAGGGAGGGTTAGTGCTTACTGGCTCCGTACTTCCGGTAGTTGTCAAGGTAACCCTAACTCGACCTGTACTCCTATCAGTCTATCTGAACCAATATAATGAGGCACTGTAATATTGCTAGCCCAGCTCGTATCATTGCAGGGTTATTAGTTTCCTGGTGATTATGAAAATGGTGGTTGTAAATATGTGATGAGATGAGGGGGGCGGGTGATTGGGTACTGAGTCTGTGATTGTTGGATTATGCACTATCTGTAGTATTGGGGGAGAACTTTAGCGGTATTAGCTAACTGTGTACTGTTATATTTGAAGAGATGGGTATTACGATTGGTTTCCGTATTGAAGAGCAGTAAATAATCAGCATACTATTACAACATGTGACACAGGATAGAACTTAAAAACATTACTGTAAAACCGAAGAACAGAAAAAATAACAGTTCACCTGTATAATGGGGGGGTAACCTCCCCCCCCCCCCCCCCCCCCCCCCCCCCCCCCGTAGAATGCGACTAACTCAACCATGTGGAACGAGGTGGAACGCATCTAATAATTGTAGAGTGGATCAAAATGGGGTCAACTAATGGAATTGGCTGTCACCTGATCTCAATCAACTACACAGTAGTGAGTGCTATACTATATAGTCGTGGATACTACTGTCAAATTAGTGTTATATTGGGAAAGTGTGAAGGTTAGCAAGGTTAGAACCTGAGTTCTAACAGCTGCACTGTAATGAGTGTATATTGTGATGTAGCAATCAATGTCTAATGACTATTATATAATATACATTATAACATTGTATCAGAATAAGCGGGCAGCTTATATCGGGACACACCGAGCAAAAGTAAAAACTGAATAATATAGTTGAAAAAGAGAGGACAAATCTGACAGTAAATTCGTGTGAGGGAAATGAAAATTACGATCAACAATTAATGCGCGAAACAAGGAAATTAGCAAACTAGCAAACAAAGAAAACACAAAATAAGAATCTGTTAATCTAATGCTGACTGCAAAGTGCAAATGTGAGAAGATCAGGATTAGAGTAAAGAAGCAGCCACTGACTATCACAACCAAATTGTAGCGGCGAATCCAGGATTCAAACTAGCAACTCTCGAACGTTTATCCCATTTACGGGCCCCAAGTTATTACTCTTTGAGAGAGAGAGAGCCCAAGTTCTACGATTGACCTTTAATAAGACTGTAATTTAAACCCGTAAAAGAGCACACACCCAGCTGTGAAGACGACAGGAATCTGGAGCCTCGTTCCTTAAATCGAGATTTTAGACTAATTTCGGTTCTAAAATTGCATAATATGCAGAACAAGTTTCAACCGCCACCAAACGAAAACACACGAAATAACGCAACGAAATAATACACCGCGCTGATAATTGCACAACGAACTTTAAAATTACGAGTACATTATATAATAATAAAATGTAAACTGTAAAACATTAGATCTCAACTGTTGACGACAAGTGTAGAGCGGATAGAGAGAGAGAGAGAGAGAGAGAGAGAGAGAGAGAGAGAGAGAGAGAGAGAGAGAGAGAGAGAGAGAGAGAGAGAGAGAGAGAGAGAGAGAGAGAGAGAGAGAGAGAGAGAGAGAGAGAGAGAGAGAGAGAGAGAGAGAGAGAGAGAGAGAGAGAGAGAGAGAGAGAGAGAGAGAGAGAGAGAGAGAGAGATATAGAGAGAGAGAGAGAGAGAGAGAGAGAGAGAGAGAGAGAGAGAGAGAGAGAGAGAGAGAGAGAGAGAGAGAGAGAGAGAGAGAGAGAGAGAGAGAGAGAGAGAGAGAGAAGGAGAGAGAGAGAGAGAGAGAGAGAGAGAGAGAGAGAGAGAGAGAGAGACTGAGAGTGAGGCCTCAACTTTACAGTACACCCTAATAGTGCAGCTGTATTAGCTCACCACTGCGTTTGTCAAGGTAAAGCTTCAACAGAGAAAAGATGAATATACGGCACGGGGCTGTGAATATGGCCATCACCACTCAAATAGACGTAGACTTCTCACAAAGATGACATGTCAAACTAACAGACATAAAGAGACAAGAACAAATACCAGCCCCAACTAACTTCACCCCAACCAGACAGAAGCGAGAGCTCCTACAAGTGACACAGTAACGCGAGGCGTGCCTGTATACACTACATTGCAGAGTGCACACTGCTGGGAGATTATATATACGAGTGACGGGATATAGTACAACTTAGTAGTTAGTGCAGCCACAACCTCTTAACTAATTCTAACTAATTCTAGAAATGCGATTAGAGTGGGTCTGGTTTCCAAGCCGGTACTAAATAGACTAATTTAACCTAGCGTTTTGAATGTTATTCTAACATAAAATCCTACAGTAAAACAGTTAATGTAAAGTTCAATACCCCTCAGGGCTAGAGGCAAGAGTCGTGAATCCTCGACCTCATGAGAGAGAGAGAGAGAGACTCCTCAATACGAAACACAAACTTTAACATGTAAACTGAATATTCCAATCGACTAAACAATGTGCGTGATAACATTGCTGTAACACATTGAAAGGCTGCAGGTAATTGTTTAAATATCCATGATTAAGTTTGAAAAACAAGCGGGCTGATTGGACTATGACTACACAGCATATTTAATACCTGTTATAAACACACAGAGGGCTTCACGACTACATACTTGTTCTCAAATTCCAAGTTTCTGAAGGAATCAAGGAAAGAAGCCCTCTAGAATCTCAACTGACATTATATGTCTACAAGTTGTCTCTAAGTGATCACTTGATCATCTCTCTACCAAGGAAGTAAGCGCAAAACGGGAAGTTTTATTCACTTATTTCCGGTATAAGGTGTTAACAATATGAGTAAGAAACAAGAAGAAATGTAAACCAAGGACAGTTATCAGTCCGTCGAACAGTAACTGATGATACACTGGGTAACTAATACCTGTTGCCATGGTAACCATGCCAGCAGATTCATTAATCATCATAACCTCCATATCATTATGTACAGTGCACTACAGTATTATTATTATATTATGGTGAATTTCCCGTTGCAGTTGCAGTTCAAATTCTGTAGTTACAGTGAATTGAAGAGAGTATTTACAAATATCAGGGCACCCTGTGATTCGGATTGAGTCAAGGCAGTTGACAATTGAACATTAAAAAGGCCAAAAGGGATTCAAGACGTTTGCCTAATTAAGGTAAAGGGACACTGGTGTAAGGAATCGAAGCGAAGGTCAGGTTAGGATTCCTAACTTAGGAAGCAAAACTTTGACACGCTAATACGATGGTTTTCATGGAGACGGTTTAAAACTTTTAAAAAGCTTTAACGGAAAGACCCGACTCGGTCACATTATATTCTACTTGGCTCGAAAACAATTTTACTTTCTACTTTCTGAACATTCCCTGTGAGCAGAACATGAGGAAATTATCTCCCAATCAAGTCACAGAAAACGTATAGAGAGAGAGAGAGAGAGGGAGAGAGAGAGAGAGAGAGAGAGAGAGAGAGAGAGAGAGAGAGAGAGAGAGAGAGAGAGAGAGAGAGAGAGAGAGAGAGAGAGAGAGAGAGAGAGAGAGAGAGAGAGAGAGAGAGAGAGAGAGAGAGAGAGAGAGCGAAGGTCAGGTTAGGATTCCTAACTTTGACACGCTAATACGATGGTTTTCATGGAGACGGTTTAAAACTTTTAAAAAGCTTTAACGGAAAGACCCGACTCGGTCACATTATATTCTACTTGGCTCGAAAACAATTTTACTTTCTACTTTCTGGACATTCCCTGTGAGCAGAACATGAGGAAATTATCTCCCAATCAAGTCACAGAAAACGTATAATTAAGCCCACGCCACAAACACCTTATAAACGGTAAAATGTCCTTACAACTTGCCATTCCGAAAATTCGGCCGAACTATCATCAATTAGTGAGCTACAAAAATAGAACACGCTAATTTCAAGAGTTTTATACACTACCAGATAAATAACATTAAATCACTTTATTATACAACTTTAGAATACAAGCAACGTAAGTAAAATCACAAAGTAGAGAGAGAGAGAGTTGTATTCACGGATAAACGTACTAACTCAACTATTAATCAAGCAGAAGTACAGCGGCAATCCAGCATCACGAGACTCTTAAAGTGTGCATGATGTACAGTCTGTGCACGTGCAATGTACAGACCGTGCACGTGAAATGTACAGACCATGCACGTGCACAGAAAACAGGCCACATTTACATACATTTACAGCGTTATATACAGCAGAGGTTAAAAAAGTGACTATAATATAAGAGAACGGTGGAAAGTGGGGTAGACGATTCGCCACATTATGCATTACAAGTTAGAGCAAGTTGCTTGCCTTTTCCTGGTCACAGCAATTTGATTACCCGCAGTTTGCTGGTGCTCTCAGAAAATATAGCGCAGTTTGGTTTGGAGCAGAATGAGGTGACTATCACGGAATTGCTGATTGATAAGCACGGCGATGGGCATCTTCTAATCTATTTAGTAATTTGATGCAATCTAATTTATAACAAGTCTTCATTTATTGTGTCAAATAAACCAGATCTAAAAATTTGCACGGACATATCACTTATTTGGTGATATCTTGGGAATTATATTCAAAATTGAAACTCCTTGATACTGATAAAATTTCCGCATTCGGGGAAATTGACGAGTTTATCATCAACCATTTCATTAAAGATATTAAAAACTGCGAAAAAATCAGAGAATATAAATTTGAACAAATACTCACTGTTGCCTCTTCTTCTTCACAGTCTTCGGTCCGATTGTCATATTAAAGCTCCAACAGTACAACACCTTCGTGTTTCAGTTTATCATAATCATGTGGTCGCTCGTGAAGTTAAAGAAATTCGCTCCCTGGTTCACACAGTCGCATACATCCCTGTACTAACTATTTTTGAGTTTGCATATTTCATGTATGAACGATTAGAGAGAAAGTTTTGTTTAATTGACAATCAGACAATTAACTATTAAGCTAATCTGGTTGATAGTTGTCATTTCAAGTTGTCATGCATG